ATTACAGTGTAATTACCCCAGGGAATCTTTCAATAACCAGGAGATCCAAGGTTATGTACTAACAACTTTCTTTGATGAATAGGTGAATGTATTTAACATATATATCTACTGTTACCTGTGAGGTTAAGGTGTCACAGGTGATATCAGAAATTTTGTAGGTACATGTCTGGACATAATAAATTGTTACAGTGATAACAATGAACATACTTTATCTGAAGGTTCCATGATGGATAGAACTTTCTAATGCATAACTCCCCTATTGACTGTCTGATCCAATTGCCTGGTTAATTAGATATTGATTTGTTTTAATTACTACTTAGCCAGGTAAGTCAAGATTGATTGTGTGATTCCAAATCATCTTACACCCCTATTACAACGGATTACTCTCCAGACGTTCTCAAACAACATGGCAAGGCAAGATCATGAACACTAGACCCTGTATTCTTTTGATCAGCATTTATTTTAATCAAGATCAAACATGAGAAAGCTACCAGAGGAGTGTGTGGTTTTCATGAACTGGATTAGCTGGCAGAGTGCTGTAATTTTTTTGGATTAAGATTACGTCAAATTTTAAAGCTTGTTTGATGTTGATTTTTCTGCTCATATCTGCTGACTAGAATGTGAAATCAGTAATCGGGGCCCTACTGGAGATAGCTGGTGGCCTACTATTGAATAGCGAAATTATAACATTACAATCCTGTGCTTATATCAAAGTTTACAGGTAAACACCCGCATTTTAAAATGGTGATATGGCACATTGAAGATCCCAAACTTACACATGAAAGTTTTCTTTGAATTGAAATTTAAAACTTTCTGTTATGAATCCTGTCTCAGAGATTTACAGACAGAATCTCAACACTGTAAACAGTCAATATTGCAAAACAGACACGTTCCATTCTGCGTATTCATTTTATTGGTATCCGACACAAATGAAAGGTGTGGATCTAAGCCAAAAACTTTTCTATAAGGTAGTCGGATCTATTGTATGAAACACCTACCTACAGATCAATACCAGGAATGTGTCATTATTAATTAATGTAAATAAATAAAAAAAATGAATGTTTAAAGGACAGTGATTATATAAACATGATTATCATATACAGGTAACTTTGGTAGGTAACTGGCTTGTACAATTTGCAGAGAGTACCAGTAAATATCGTTCATGTGTATCAGACTTTGGATTTAGTATATAGGCTGAAAACAGCATTCAAAAGGTACTGAAATGGATTGTATGATACTTTTCAATTTTTGCGGATATTTTTAAAAGCTACATATGAATGATTAAAAGTCAGCACAGCGAGTTGAAGGTGGAGAGATATTGTGTAATTATGTACTGAAGAGAGGGAGGACATGACGTTTATATGAACACTGAACAATAAACCTGTTGAGAGTCGTATCATAAAGTTTGAATTCCATTTAAGACTTTTATCTGAAATGGAGCAACGCAAATATGGATAGATACTTTCACCTGGGGCTATAAATGTAAGGAGACCTATTGGTATGTCTTGGCGTAATGATCAACACCCGTGCTCTTCTGTCTATAGGACCAAGTTAAAGGGACATTGAAAAACCAACCCGAGTATTTAAAGGGACACTCAAGGGCGGCGACATTAGTGCAGATCTTGGATTTAAACACGACTGATGTGTCACTCACTATTTGAATGTTGTGTAATGTTTTTAGTGTTTGAGACTAACAGGCGAGGATTCTGACAACCTGGAGAGAAACAGTGTGTCTTGTCTGGTATCTCGGAGTGGATTGAGGAATGTGTTGGTAGATCTTGGCTTGTTATCCTGGTCAAACTGTATACGTCACACCCTGACCAAAACATTTTGACACTCTAACTAGGCCTTGAAAACTTGGACTTGGAAACCCTTTTCAGACCAAATTACATGTCCTAATAGATATTTCGACATTGAATTGACCTAGCAAATATTTTGACATTGAATTTCTGCACCCAAACAGGAGTTTTTATTCGAAAATGTTTTGGACCTCATTTTTAAGATAAAATTTCTAGACCTAATTTGATGTTTTGATATTCAGTATTTAAGTATTTGAATTTTGAGGTCTGATACCTGGGGTCTGTGACTAAAACCTACCAAGACGTGACATTCAAACCGTTTCTGAGTATTGTTAATAAGTGTCCCACAGTGTGTACAGGACTTATAAGGCCATACTATCATAATTATTTGCTTTTTAATATGTTTTGTTGGTTTTAGATATTCACATTTACCCTGAACAATTTGTAAGTAGTGCAGACACAAACCCTGCTGTGGAATTCGAACTGTTTTGTGAGATGCTGTTGGCTGCTTAGAAAGCTATACAAACTGCACAGAATTAACTAGACTTGAGGATTAAGATGAAGATTGAATAAAAAGAGCCTGTTGGAAATTTTGTTGAAACTCACCTGTTCTCACTCTGAAAGCTGGCTGTTCATCACATAGCAAAAACTCCAAGCTTATTTTGCATGTTATGGTATGATGACAGAGCAGATAGCACTCTAAACATGTATTTCATGTTCGAGCCAGCGTCAGTAAAAATGGAAAAGTCAGTGTTGTAGTATGGTATCTCAAGCTGGATGTGGTTTATATATGTGAATTGACAGAACATCACAAATTAGCATCATGGATAAGTGTAACAAGTTGATGAAAATGAAGGGCACACCGCAAAATGGAAAGCCCAAAAAACCACTAGGGACCATCATTGGAGCCATGAAAGGTAGGCCAGGAGTCGGGGTGGTGATAATAATTATCTTAAAGAATGATTCTGAAGGTGCAGAAAATGTGCAAAATTTCTGTATTTTAATTTCACAGAAAGTCTAATCTTAAATTTTGGAGTGAGATAAATTGAAAAAATTGTTAGACTAATTTGAAATATAGACAGAATATTAGATTGAAAACAAAAACAACCAACGACTCTGTTAGGGATTGCTGCTTACATGTCAATTATAACAAAGACAGTAAATTAAAGGATGAAGAATACCATGATATCATTACTTAAGTATTTTTTAAAGTCACAGTTTTTGGTTTGTTTTTTACTGGGTTTTACATCATTGCCATAACCAGTATCATCTTCTTTTACCAAAATAGGATAAATGAAAGAATCTGTTTATCTAAAAGAAATATCTATGTTATAGAATTAAGCTCAATAGCTATGATGTGTAAGTCTTTAGTCTATGAGTGACCATTGAAATAACACTCCAGTCTATCTCATTTAGCTGGTCAGTCAATCTTAGCCTAATTCTACACTTCACAAACCTGAGTATTACCAGCAACACAAATCAAACAGATGTAAATAATTTCTATTTAACTGCACATGTAAGTTTTGAAATAGATGTTACAGTGTTGGTTTCCACTAGTTAATGTCTATTTCAATTCTCTGACGTTGATTACATCTCAGGAAGGAAAATCTTCATTACTGTAATGTCATTTCTTCTCCTTTGAACATTTTCTGAATGTTTAAGTTCATTTCTGCAGCTCTATAAAAAATACACTGGATGGGAGTGCAAGATGTGCTTACACGTGTCAGAAACCATTAATTGTTTGTTATGGAGGGGTGGTTTTAAGTTTCTTGTTTTTATGAATTGAGTGTTTTATATTTTATGGTAGAATCATTCCATTAGCATCAGGCTAGTGAAATTCTAAATTTTGATACACTTTCAAATTAATTTTATGCTCATTAGTTTGTGGGGCTAGTCGGTATGAATACATGTTGCTGGGCATAAGTAAGGAATGACACAGACACATTTCTTATCTCACAATCAAATCATGTTTACTGATGAAACTTTCATTATAAATTGCTATCTAAAATGATTTAGTTTACGTCAGTAGAAAAACAACTTTAGTGTAGAACACTTGTAAGTAAAGTCTCCTCTGTACCCTGTAACTTTACAGTACTGCAGAGCTATATTGTTTTAACTTCAGACACATTCTTGAGTCAGCAAGACTTTTGTACACTCTTTATGTGTTAACTGAAGTAAAAGATTTCTGAAATAAAAGACATTTTTGAATATGTCACACCTGAGATCTGAAAAAATTCCTGTATCTAATATGACAATGGAGTTTTCGGATGACAGATGTATTTAGGTGAAATACCTTGGGTTGGTGCCAAGTTTAAGGGTTAAGATTTTGGTTTGTATGTTTTGTAAGACAATGATAAACTTTATCGTAGTGTCCAGTGTAACAGAATAGACTGGGTAGGATTCCGTTATCCTCGAGTCTGTCTGAGGACTGAGCATTGCAGGAGACTTCACCAGGTGCTCCTAGATCAGCAGAACGGGATCCTTATAAATGAGGATTTGTCATGTCATAGTCGGTACAAATTGATTGTCAACTTAATAATTCAGCTGGTGAGACTGAAACACAGAGTCCATTTTGTTCATGTTAAGTTGACTAGTAGATAAGGTTTGTCATGAATTGTCCGTTGGAGGTCTCACTTCCCTCCTCTTTATACTCAAATATACACACTCAGGTGTAAACATATAATATTTTCCTGTGTGTCTAGCTAGTTTACTTCAGACCCAGGCTGAAAGACCTGGAATGTCATTCAGTCACAGTCAATTGATGTTTCACATTAATACAAGTTATTAATAAAAGATTTAAAGTCTCCCAATGTCTGCAATACAACCTGGTAATGTTACTCTAAAAACATTTTGAACTGAATTAAATCCTCGTAACTCTGTTCATTGATGCATATACCAATGTATCTCTTCACTTAGTACTTAATGGGGAGAGACCTTTCCACTGGAATATGATGGTATATTATTGTATATGATGTACCTATGCATGATATGAAATGTTGGAATGTGTATTTACATTATGACATTTGTCTTCAATAATTAGATTACATCCTGACTTTTGTTACACTTGAATACAGCTCCATGATTAATAGTATTCAGAAACTGTACATGGATGTTAATTATGTGATGTTGTCATTGTATTTTCTGTCTGTGAAATGTGGAGCTCATCTGAATTTGTCTAGTCATGCCATATTTGTATTTCAGAACTCCACAAGCAACACCGTGACAAGCTGGAGGACATCACTCACAGATTTGAGAGTATGAAGATGAATCTGTCTGTATGTATATACAAACTTGTTATGAACAAACTTCACGATGATTAAAGTTCAGTACCAATTTTACAAGATCAGTGTAACATAACCAATGTTATGATGAGCAAAATCACATGACTAATGTTACAATGACCAAAATCACGTGACAGTTGTTACAATGACCAAAATCACATGACAGATGTTATAATGGCCAAAATCACATGACTAATGTTACAATGGCCAAAATCACATGACAGTTGTTACAATGACCAAAATCACATGACAGATGTTATAATGGCCAAAATCACATGACAGTTGTTACAATGACCATAATCACATAACCAATGTTATGATGACCAAAATCACATGACTAATGTTACAATGACCAAAATCACGTGACCAGTTACAATGACCATAATCACATGACCAATGTTACAATGACCAAAATCACATGACTTAAGTTTTACAAAAATCATGATCAATACATTTTAGAATGCTTACAGGAAGTGTAATTTGTTGATGCCTCTAGACCTGTAAACAGCAGACAGTAATTGTATCTGAAGAACATTTATATTAATGTAGATATAAAATTTTAATATTTCTGTCTGTAGGACAAAGTGGAGAGTTTGAGATATGAGTGTGACGACCTAAGAGTTCGGGCCAGGATGAGTGAGGAGGCGCTTCAGAGGGACTCGGACTATAAAGTACAGGTATGTTATTCACTTACTTTCACCTATTTCTCTGCTATAAACTTTGGAAAGGTCCTATTTATGGCTAATTGTGATTACAAACTGGTTTTGATTGAATTAAAGACTGGTGACAAGAAATCAAAACTCTTTTGACAGATGGCATTGGCACCGTTCAGACAGATGCCAGAGGAGATTCGGAGTCTCAAACTTGTCGTGGACATGAGGAACGAGGAGATACAGAAGCTGAGGCAGCGTAACATGCAACTGGAAAAACAGGTAGGATTATAGCAGGGACAGGTCAGGTCCTGAGGACAACCAGGCACAAGTCCTACAGATTCAGTACAAGTCAGTCTTAAAGATACCATACAGATTAAGTCCTAAAGATCCTGTCCAGCTCATGTCATAAATATCCTTTAAAGGTCAGGTCCTAAGTATCCTGTACAGGTTAGATCAGAGGTCCAGCACAAGCCTTAATGGCCTTACACTTACTATATAAGTTTCTGTATGATTGAAGTCAAATGGCTTTGTGAATAAGTCATTGGAAGTTTTTGGACCCATAACAAGTAGGTTATTATATATTGCACCCATCTGAAATGTTATGACGGAAGGAATGGTTGCTTCCTCTGCTACCAAATCAATAGAGTTAAATAGGATAAGCTGATATAATCAGTTATCTCACAGATTCTCCAATACAGGAAGCAGATCAGGTCGATTTATTGGTTTATTGGTTAGTCGATAAATGGTCCATTCCCTGTTGTTACATCAGCTAAAAGTGTAACTGTTTTTACTATATTGTTGTTCCCTTCAGGTGGAGGAATTGGCTGCAACCAAGGAGAAGGTGAATGCTCTACAGCAGAAGCTTGAGAACTCTGAGGCCATCCTCAGCATGAAGACTGACCATGAGAAGTAGGTTACTACAATAAGTACTAACTAGCCCAGAATAACTTTGTAATGCTAATGGATGAATACAGAGACTTTCTTGACTAGAATAATCTGCCATTAGTGTTTGTTATGTATATACTCAGTTCTAATGCCCAATAAACACATCATCTTCTAGGTTACAGGAGGACATTGTTTTGTTTTGAAATAAATAACTAAAGGTTCTCTTCTTTTTTACTCTATGGTTATATAGACTGTCAAAAGGTGTTGTAAATTCAGGTTAATTCTGTAGTAAGAAACATTGTGATGTTCTAGCTGTAATTATTGATGCTGCATTTGACTGCAGTATACTGTATACTGTACAATCAGGAGAGTTATTATTAATATGGTACTGTCGACTTTTCAGACAACTACATGGAAAGTGTCAGATCCTGATGAGGAAGTATGACAAAGAGAATAAGGCAAACAAACGTCTGTCCATGGACTATGAGGAGCTTGTTTGGAAAATGAACCAGAGTGGGGAGCTGGGATCACAAGAAAACTTATGGAGTGCTGGAAGTCAATCTCCCACCCCAGAGGCTAGCTCCCCAGGGCTGGGGCGTCGTACACGCTCACCTGCTGTGTGTGACAATGATAGATTCGCTAACAGGAATGCTGTTTACCGCCGTTCTCTTTCCTCCAACCCATCAGAGAATGACGGAGACAAGAGACTGAAGAGGAGGTCTGCCAACTATCTTCTAGAGGACAGGAAAACGTCCCCAACAGGGAGTCCTCTTCACAAACGTCCTCATGGTTCTGCGTCTTCAACCTCCTCTTCCCCACTCCACCACAGCTACCATGATGGAGAGCTGTCCAATGGGAGGACGGATCGTTTGATTCAGTCACTGAATGATGTGGATGTGTTTGAGGAGCCCCAGGCCCTCCCATCACCACCCCATCCCTGTGAAATGGAAGGAAGCTTAACTTCCTTTTCGTCTTCCTTCGACTCCCGAGAGAACGACCCAGTATTAGAGTCAACAGACTGCCTCGGGCAGGATGATGAAGGCGACAATTCAAAGACTCTCACTTCCAGCAGAAGTATTACTATGCCTGATCTACCATTTGTGGACTGCGATAAGAGTGAGGAAGTGTCTGGTCAGGATGAGGGTGTGTGTCTAACAGAAGAACAGGGGGAGGATCAGGCGTCGGATATGTCTCATTCCACTGAGTCAAACGCTTACTCTAACTCATCATCCCTCTTGTGGGATTATGAGAAAATGGACTCTGTAAAGTCAATGGACTCTAGTCAGACCAGCGACACACTGCTGGAACAGAACGGCTCTGAGGCATGGCAAACAGAGTCAATGACATCCTCGAAAGGGATATCAGCATCCTCTAGTGCCGAATGTGTGCTGCCCTCTAGAGAGGGTAAGGACAATGATGGACAGACAATTCAGGAAGTGGTAACAGTCACATGTCGCCAGGAATCAACAGTTTAATGTTTGTGATGTCGTTAGGTTACTGCTCCTATGATATAAAACTCTACCATACAAGTGTGTTAGAGTTGAATTTTGTCCTACATTTAATGAATATCTGTAGGTAAACAATTTTCGATAACTTTTTCTCACACTGCAATTTGAAAAGTTTTGAGTGGGATCTTTTCTTCAAAGTGTTTTGATATGGGAAAATTGTAGAGATTATTTTCGTTTCTACAACAATTTTTGCATTTTCTTTAGTCTAGATATTTTCTGTACTTGCACACAGTTAGGACAAATTGTACAAGAAAATGATTTAAACAGATTAAGAGTGAAATTGTAAACAGAATATTGATGTTTAGCATGGCTGCAACTATAGGAAGGGAGACAATCCTGGATCTCTCTGAATAGTCTGTGATAATTATTGGATAACATAATATATACAGAATCCCTTAATGATGCAAGCTTTTGCACAACTGTAAAGACAGGAAATTTGGTACTAAGGATGAACTTTGTATAAAACACCTTCACTATATGCTGAAAAATTAAATAGCGCTAAAGAAAAGATATGCAGCGAAACTTATCATTTCAAGTCCAAATTTCGAGGACCTGTCAGTTTGTACATTATTTTTCTTATTTTTTTTTTTTACTTTTTTTTTTTGTTTCATTTGCAATATAGAATGTTCTAGTTCATTAAGTTGGGAAGGTAATTCACTCAAGAGTTTGGTTGAGTTAATTAAGATTGGTTACAATGGACTTGATTTAATTAATTAGAAGGTGCTTTTTCATGAAGATATTGTTTGATTATTTTCAATGGAAAATTGAAATGTTCATGGTACATAATGTCTGGTGGGTGTGTTCAGGAATTACCATTAAATATATATTGACATTTGCAATAAGATTATAAATATATACATACCATGCTGAATGTGACACCATTAAGAAAGTTGTCACTGCCAGACAAGAAAATCTACCCAAACTCTTACTGCTACTTTCAGTACAGGGTAACTTGTTCACTCCAAACACCACAAGTTGTGGTCCACAGTACAAAACTGATAGAAATTTATTAATTTAGATGTTGGATATATGAAGATATCCTGATGACACAAGGTTCAAAAATAGAGTGACTTAGTTGATGTAAAAACGTTTCTGAATTGCACAAATTTCCAGATTACACATGATCTAAGAAAGGTAAAATTCTGATTCTACATTATGCAGAGTTTGGCATTTACAAATTACATTGTGCAATGGAAAATGTCTTCAGATGTCATTTTTTGTGCCATTGTTAAGTCATCTATCATGATAATCATGTGTTTGACATATGCTGTAAGTTTTTCCCGAGATGGACATGTCATCAAATGTTGACAATGTCACGGGCATTATTATTCAGATATATACTTATCAACTTTGCCATTGGTTTAAACAGTATTTTATTGTTAAAATAAGCAAACAGAATGGTGATGAAAATTACTTCAGCATGCCAAATATATATTCTTCATAATTCAAGTCTGTTCACAGAGACTAATATTTATTAATAACATTTACATAAAAACAGATTTATTATGAAAATGTACTTAATTATAGGTATGCAATTTTTTTTTCAAAGCATTTTCTCCTCTGTGAAATATATATGAATGATTTCCTTTCAGAAACACTCGGAAACACAGTTATTTCCCTTGTGAGATATGAATTATTCCCCATTGTTGTATAACTAGATGTTGATATGACTGACTGTAATGAAATCCAATTACAATTTGATGATCTCAGTACATTAACCATACATGTTTATGTCATGCCGTTTTTTCCTCAAAACTTCAAATTCTTATGTTACATTTTCACAGCTGTGTAGCAATGGGACATTAATTATGTCAGAGTTATGTCCCCTCGCTTTTCACAATATGTGCTTTTTACTCATTTTTTCACTTGTTTTAAATTGACATTTTTCTCTTCTTCAATTTTGTCATTACAAATGTAATCTTTTTTGTAAAATTGGTTTGGATTAGAACTATATAACTTCCAGTACTTTTCTCAGGATTTCATTGTCTTTGTAGATTTTAATTGTAATTAGCTCTACAAATATTCATACTTCACTCGTTATAAATATACCATCATACTGACTCACAAATTACCATCATACTGATTCACAAATTATTTACCTTTATCATATATATCATTGTAAATACAGAAGTCACATTGTTATACATGTATTCACTATACGTCCTAATTGTTCTGTGGTTGTATATGTGTTGTATTTATGTAAGAAATGTCGGAACAGGATATTTATTAAATGCTAAGCCTACATTAGACGGACTGGGCATTTTTTCCCACTTGTAGTCATTGTGATTTGTAATATTACAATTTTGATGTTGTGTTACATAGTGCTGATCTACATATTTATTTACATGTACTTAAGACTGTGTGTGAAAATCGAGATGTAAGAGAGTGTAATTTTCAAACTTCCTTATACAATTTCCTGTTCACATATTACTTGTCCCAGGCACATTTATTCAATGAAACGTGACTTCAATAGAATTTTTTTTTTTAAATAGACATGGATCTTAAGTATAAAGCAGATGTAGTAAGTCCTAATTTTCATTTACACGATTTGATCCTGTCTTACAAACACATCTGTTTATAACTACCCTAGCAGGTGTTTCATGAAATGGTAAGAAATGGGACCAAATAGATCACTCATTACTCACAGTATATACCAGTATTGTAAAATTTGGTACTTTTGAGGGGCAGTAAACTTTGGCTACTTCATAGGATGGAATACATGAGTGAATCATGTGCAACTTGTGAATTAGAGTCAACTATAATCTGTTTTCGATGAAAACCAGTACATTCTCTTTGTGCCACACATTTAGTTTCAAAAATTTGATTCATCAATGAAAAATAAAAATCATACAATCATTTTTAACTTTTTTGGGGTTTTGATGAAGGATTTCAAATGTAAGATAAAGGAACTGCCATTGATATTCTCAAAGATATTTACAACCATCAAATAATTGATCATAGAAGACTAAAACATGGATCTCCATGTGTACATTAGTGTAATGTAAATCTTATTTAGGAAGTGTGTATGGGAGAAGGTTGTATATAGTCATTCCATGTTGAGGTTGGGTAAAGTAGCGAACATCCTTAATATCAGGAGACCAGTATATACAGGTTTGAGTGAGTCCTGTATGATGACGGCCCATTACATACATGTAAGTCCTGTATGTTGAGGGGTCCAGTATACACAGCTGTGAGTCCTGAATGTTGAGAGGCTGGTATACACAGCTGTGAGTACTGAATGTTGAAGGCCCAGTATATACAGGTTTGAGTGAGTCCTGTATGTTGAGGGCCCATTACATACATGTAAGTCCTGTATGTTGAAGGCCCAGTATACACAGCTGTGAGTACTGAATGTTGAAGGCCCAGTATATACAGGTTTGAGTGAGTCCTGTATGTTGAGGGCCAATTACATACATGTAAGTCCTGTATGTTGAAGGCCCAGTATACACAGCTGTGAGTCCTGAATGTTGAGAGGCTGGTATACACAGCTGTGAGTACTGAATGTTGAAGGCCCAGTATATACAGGTTTGAGTGAGTCCTGTATGTTGAGGGCCCATTACATACATGTAAGTCCTGTATGTTGAAGGCCCAGTATACACAGCTGAGTGTACTGAATGTTGAAGGCCCAGTATATACAGGTTTGAGTGAGTCCTGTATGTTGAGGGCCCATTACATACATGTAAGTCCTGTATGTTGAGGGGTCCAGTATACACAGCTGTGAGTACTGAATGTTGAAGGCCCAATATATACAGGTTTGAGTGAGTACTGAATGTTGAAGGCCCAGTATATACAGGTTTGAAGGAGTCATGTATATCAGATGCACCCTGGATATATGTGCTGGGGCATGTCCAGTGTACATATGTACCAGCTCTACTTTAGAGGGTGTGTGTCAGTGTACATATGTACCAGCTCTACTTTAGAGTGGGTGTGTCAGTGTACATATGTACCAGCTCTACTTTAGAGTGGGTGTGTCAGTGTACATATGCACTAGCTCTACTTTAGAGTGGGTGTGTCAGTGTACATATGTACCAGCTCTACTTTAGAGTGGATGTGTCAGTGTACAGTGTACTAGCTCTACTTTAGAGTGGGTGTGTCAGTGTACATATGCACTAGCTCTACTTTAGAGTGGGTGTGTCAGTGTACATATGTACCAGCTCTACTTTAGAGTGGATGTGTCAGTGTACAGTGTACTAGCTCTACTTTAGAGTGTGTGTGTCAGTGTAAGAGTATGCAAGGTTGTTGTTGTCTTATTGTCTGTATGGTCAGATTTAGCGACATTCTTTGCTAATGTTATTAGCAAAAAAACTGTGTTCAACCAGTACAAGTTACTGTTTATAATAAAATGTATTTGCTGCAACTTCATTCAAAGACTTATTAATTTTGTTTTATATGTACCATGAGACAGAACAATATCCACCCATATCATATGAATTGAATATAAATACAGAAATGAAAAGGTAACGTTGTTATCAAAATAGCACTGAGAAAGCAGTTTCCTTACAATGTGTGGCCTTGCTAATGTGTAACCTTAACAAAGTCATTGGTATATTTCCAGCCCATGAACTACAAATTACAAGGGAATATTGCATGTAATGGAAAAGAAAATGAGGCTGCCTCCCCTTATAACACATTGAGAAAGATGAATACATATGTACTTGTATATGCTTTGAACAGGTATTTTGATTAAGCTGAAGTAATTATTATAACTAAGTTTGAAAGAAATGATTTAGAAACTTTGAGATTTCAAGACAAGCAAACCTGTAAGACAGATGGACAGAAGCCACACCATAATACATCAATTACTTCCACACATACATAAATGTAAATTTTGAAGGGCATATCAAATTTTGATTCCATGTTAATCAAATATGATTGATGACAGAATATGGCAGGGTGCAAGTCACAAACTTATCAACATGTACACGCTTGTAAAGTAAGTAACTTTCTACAATACCATATTGATGACCTTTACAAGTTACAAGTGTCAAGTAAAGTTTAAAGGTAGAGGTATTGTTAAGTAAAATGCTAATTCTTCCACAAATCATATTACAAGCTGCATTTAGAGCTATATTAATAACAAGCTAGGTCCCCATTAGTAACATGTCAGGTCTTCATTAGTAACATGTCAGGTCTCCATTAGTAACAGGCTAGGTCTTCATTAGTAACATGTCAGGTCTCCATTAGTAACATGCTAGGTCTTCATTAGTAACATGTCAGGTCTCCATTAGTAACAGGCTAGGTCTTCATTAGTAACATGTCAGGTCTCCATTAGTAACAGGCTAGGTCTTCATTAGTAACATGTCAGGTCTCCATTAGTAACAGGCTAGGTCTTCATTAGTAACATGTCAGGTCTCCATTAGTAACAGGCTAGGACTTCTTTAGTTACAGGTAATGTCTGCACAAGTAACAGGTTGGGTCTGCATTATAAGATTGAATTAGCATTAGGAACAAGATAATTTTTCTTTGATAACAGACTGGGTATGTTTTAGTTACAGATTAGATCTGTATTAGTAACAGATTAGTTCTATATTAGTTACGGAGAAGGTCTGCATTGAAACACGTTAGGTCTGTATTCGTTACGGATAAGGTCTGCATTGAAACACATTAGGTCTATATTAGTTACGGATTAGGTCTGCATTGAAACACATTAGGTCTATATTAGTTACGGATAAGGTCTGCATGGAAACACGTTAGGTCTGTATTAGTTACGGATAAGGTCTGCATTGAAACACGTTAGGTCTATATTAGTTACGGGTAAGGTCTGCATTGAAACACATTAGGTCTATATTAGTTACGGATAAGGTCTGCATTGGTTGCATAAGGTCTGCATTAAAACACGTTAGGTCTGTATTAGTTACGGATAAGGTCTGCATTGAAACACGTTAGGTCTATATTAGTTACGGGTAAGGTCTGCATTGAAACACGTTAGGTCTATATTAGTTACGGGTAAGGTCTGCATTGAAACACGTTAGGTCTGTATTAGTTACGGAGAAGGTCTGCATTGAAACACGTTAGGTCTGTATTAGTTACGGAGAAGGTCTGCATTGAAACACGTTAGGTATATATTAGTTACGGAGAAGGTCTGCATTGAAACACGTTAGGTATATATTAGTTACGGAGAAGGTCTGCATTGAAACACGTTAGGTATATATTAGTTACGAATAAAGTCTGCACTGAAACACGATAGGTCTATATTAGTTACCGTGAAGGTCTGCATTGATATCAGGTTAGGTCTATTTTAGTAGCAGACAAGGAAACTGAAAACCCCGGTGATCTGGCAGCAAAACATCCATACCATTAGATGTTCGAAAAAGGATTTGGGCCCCATTCTGTCTCAGCATTGTGAAAATAATATATATTAAGGAGATACAAAAAAAAACTTGGACAAGTTTAATGTCCCTGTCGCCCTTGCCGATACGACTATGCAATCTTCGCCACCGTAGCCTGCTTCCAGGCCGAGGGACAGTGACAGTGCCATTCGTTAATCAGCTGGATCGCCTAAACGTGAAATACATCTTTGAAAAATCAACGCTGTTAAGAAGTTGTGTGAAACATAGTCTACAACGCTTCAACGTTTAGAATTAATAAACTGCAGAGGGGAATGTCAGGGATCGAGATCCCAAATGTCCTTTGTCATTGTCTGCACCATCCCAAATTAAAGGAACTTTTAATTTTCATTTAACCCCTTTCATGTCCCTCTGAACTATTAGAAATAGTCAAAATATACTGATATTCGTACCAATGAGGAAAATATTAAGAGTTTACTAATTGGTAATTTGTAGTTACATGTAAATGGCTTTTACAACCTGCCAGGTGATCGTCGTTATGGACAATTCGGTACTGTGTATTACCATACCATGAATACTATTGCACCACATAAATTGTACATGCCTTAACAAAAAGGTTTTTTTTTTTCATTTCTGATATGCTGTTTTGAACATTATATTTCCCGTGCGTCATAAGCTACCCTAACCGCGCACATTCTATTACGGATCTAGCTTTATCCGTTCATGTAAATCAGTCAGTATAAGCTTCTTTTTTACATTATGTTTTTTGCTTTTGTGCAGAAATTTTGGAAAATTTAAAGATAAAGTATACTTTCTCTGGAACCCAATGCTTCAAATGTATATGTATGTTGTACCAAGAAAGTCTAAAGGGCCTGAGCATTTCCTCAAAAAATATTTTCAAAAAATACAATAATAGATAACGTCTAGTCATATCTAAAAACGATTTAAACAATCGAGTAATCATTGAGTCGGAGCATGGAAAACTGTGGAGCAAGAGGAGGGTGGGTGTATTTTTGTTCGTAAGATGTTTTTAGATTTATCTCCCCTTCATGGAATGACGTCCGGTCAAGTGACGTCATTCAATATTGTTTGTGACGTCATTTACCGGGAGACGTTCAACGACACGATAAACAATATAAATGGCGTCCGAAACACCCTGAAGATGCCCTAAACCATGGACAAAAACAAAACAGGGCTTCCAATATGATAGAAAGACTCCGACGAAAGAGTTCTAGTGCAGAAAGAAGTGTGAGCGATGCTCGAAAGAAATGGGGGAAGGCCATATCGACAGTAAGCACATCCGTTTTGCCACATTGATATAGTCAGAAGTGCTTGTAATCGAAACGTGTTTTCGTATATATTTTTCCAGAAGGATTTTGTTCCAGAGCTTGTTCATGTTATAATCCATTCTTTGTAAAAAGATCTACACTATTTATACGCCCGCATTCTATATTACCAATGTTGTATATACAATGTACATTTAATAGCATAAATAATGGACGCAGGCTTCACAGCCTCTATGTCCATATCATGTATATTACAAAGCATAATAAAAACAAATTTCAATTCCAATGTAACGGCTACAAGAACATACATGTTAATGTTCATATGTGAAACAGTTATTTTTCCAATGTTCATAATTTCATATTTAATAACAGATTCCGCATTGACAACAGTTTGTGGTAAGTTATTCAATAAATCGATTACTCGTTGACTGAAAAAAATGCTTCCTTCCATCAAGACGACATCGTTGTTTGAAGATTTTCTTATCATGACCTCTGGTTAAACTTGACAATTTGGAAGAAGTTTCTTGTTACTCTACTTTCATATATGTTATTTACTATCTTTAAACCGTTTATCATGTCTCCTCCTTATCCTACGATTTTTAATTCGGTAAGACGCCAACGTGTCCACTAAAAAAGTTACACGATGCCCACGATTGCAACATTATTTAGTGATAATTTGTTTTTTTTTCTTGTTGCAGGTGCGTCGAGGATCCGCTGCAGTAAGTGCTGTATGTCCTTTTTATATATATATGTATATGTATATATATACAGTGACATGCAATAAGTCTTGCCCATTTTGTTTTATTTAATGATGCATTAAATTTTATCAATGAATTTCCTTAACTTCGTTTAGGGATGGATTTTGCCGATACTTGGCTGTTTTGTACAGTTACATCCATATTTTCTTTCATAATATTCATTTAATGTTCCATTGTTTATTTCGGGAGTAATGAAAAATTATCTGCACTGCAAATTTCCATGAGGCGCCATTTTCCTATATAGCTTACCAAAATGACGTCAAAATGGCATTCCGAAAATCGCATGTTGTAAATAAGACATTATTTCATACACAACGGAAAACAACAGAAATAACATGAGATGAAACAGGAAACAATGCTCAAGAAATGTATAAAATTTCATTAAAAATTATCCAAGAAGGTAACCAGGAAAATTAATTGAAAAGGTCAGAATTACAAAGAATATATAGTAAAATAAATAATAAAAAAAATAAACGTGAAAGACTTATGACACGTCACTGTAGTTTCTTCAAATTGATTTTGCAATTTAAGGAGATGTTCCGTATTATCGCGGTAGTTGATTTTCGGCTCTGTTAAAATGCAAAAATAATTATCGTGATTCTAACTAGTTAACAACAGTATAATGTACGGACTGTCCATCTTCCCAAAAGAAATGGTGAATAATGCGATAATATGGAACCCGCTATGATTTGAGAACAACATGTCACACCATCAACTCGAATTCGTTGTGTGTTGAACGTTTTTTATTAATACCCCTGATTTAGGATTACAACCACATCACTACACCGACCGTCGGGTCGTGTAAGTCACATTACTGTAGCTCTATGTGGTGTCTGGACTCCCGAGGACGTCCAGAGCGACGTGGCTAGTCTGTGATTCTGCCCAGCACTCAGGGGTATCCCTAGTTTTATTACCCTACACACTCACTCTTGCACGACTTCCTCACCTGTCACACCTGGACATGTACACGTCTCAAGAAAACACCATATAAGGACAAGCACTGACACTACCTAACAGGTAACACCAAATAAGGACATACACGTAAATGCACGGACAGTAACGAATACAGATTAAACAGGACGTTATAGACACTGTGACAAACACATACGTACATTTTGTACATTTGTACAATCGTCATTTAGTCACACGCCAACATACCAAAGGCGATGTGTTAGACAAGATATTATAAATGTACCTCGATAAACATTGACTACAACAACAAATGTGGGATTATCTCCCCCTTCTCGCAGAACTGAAGCGTGACACTTTTTTCGCAATGTGCTGATTCTGTCTCCAAGGTCAGTACAAAAAAACAATTTATTATCAGGCGAATACTAAGTTGAAATAATCGTTGAGAAAATGTTCATAATTTTCACAACGATTGCCTAGTAATAAGGAATAATTACCAGTATCTATGTACGGAAAATCCCAAAACGTATGTTACAAGTGTAATGTTCGTAGAACGTATTGGGGTAAATGGGCCAAAAGACTCCTCTTTCATGTAGACTTGTACAAATGCAAAAAAATATATATATGTGACAGGCATATCAAGTGCTTATTATTGTATACAAGGAAGACACATCGTGATTAAATTTAAAATGCATATGTACACGTACATCTATGTCCGACTGTTGAGTGTACAAAAAGGGTGTGTTACCCTGAGTCCGATTGTCGGGTGTACATAAAAGGGCGTGTCACCCTGAGTCCGACTGTCGGGTGTACCTAAAAGGGCGTGTCACCCTGAGTCCGACTGTCGGGTGTACATAAAAGGGTGTGTTACCCTGTGTCCGACTGTTGCGTGTACAAAAAGGGTGTGTTACCCTGAGTCCGACTGTCGGGTGTACATAAAAGGGCGTGTCACCCTGGGTCCGACTGTCGGATGTACAAAAAAGGGCGTGTTACCCTGGGCCCAACTGTCGGGTGTAAATAAAATAGCGTGTTACTCTGGGCCCGACTGTCGGATGTACAAAAAGGGCGTGTTACCATGTGTCCGACTGTCGCGTGTACATAAAAAGGGCGTGTTATCCTGTATTTGACCTTTGATTGTGTACGTACATGACCCGTTACCCTGGGTCCAACTGTTGATTGTACACGTACAGGACGTTTTACCCTGTATTCGACCTTTGATTGTACGCGTACAGAACGAGTTATCCTTGGTGCCCGACTGTCGCGTGTACATGAAAAGGGTGTTACCCCGGGCCCGACTGTTGATTGTGTACGTACAGGACGTGTTATCTTCTTTTCGGCCTTTGATTCTACGCGTATAGAACGTGTTGCCTTAGTTCTGGCTTTCGATTGTCTGCAATTTCAAAATGTTGCTTAATTTTTTTATTAATTCATAAATCATTGTTTGGTTTTTAGGCCCGCCGGGAGAGTACTGCCGTCACCGACCCCTTTCTGGAGAGATTTACTGTCACAGGTCGGGCATCTTTGGATGAATTCGTTGAGCATTACTTCACAGACATATTCACAGCTCAGTAAGTATAGACGTATTGACTGATAAACAGGAACTCGTCTGTTTATATCATGCTGTCATGCGTTTCGTTATGTATCTTATGAAGTAGATTAATATCGTAAGGCGAAGACTGACATTTTCTTGTGAAGATTTACAACTTCTATCAATATCTGTATCTTACAATGAAAATAAATATCTTACAATGGAGATTTGTGTCTTACGACGAAGATTTATTTCTCAACGTTAAGATTTATATTTTATGATGAAGATTTGTATCTTACACTGAATATTTACTGGATACGATGTATCTTACGGTGAATATTTAGATCTGACAGTGAAGATTTAGATCTTACGGTGAATATCTGACAGTGAAGATTTAGATCTTACGGTGAATATATGTTACGGTGAATATTTATATGTTACGGTGAATATTTAGATCTGACAGTGAAGATTCAGATCTTACGGTGAATATTTATATGTTACGGTGAAGATTTAGATCTTACGGTGAATATTTATATGTTACGGTGAAGATTTAGATCTGACAGTGAAGATTTAGATCTTACGGTGAATATTTATATGTTACGGTGAATATTTAGATCTCACGGTGAATATTTATATGGTACGGTGAATATTTAGATCTGACAGTGAAGAATATTTACGGTGAATATCTGACAGTGAATATTTATATGTTACGGTGAATATTTAGATCTGACAGTGAAGATTTAGATCTTACGGTGAATATTTATATGTTACGGTGAAGATTTAGATCTTACGGTGAATATTTATATGTTACGGTGAAGATTTAGATCTTACAGTGAATATTTATATGGTACGGTGAATATTTAGATCTGACAGTGAAGATTTAGATCTTACGGTGAATATTTATATGTTACGGTGAAGATTTAGATCTTACGGTGAATATTTATATGGTACGGTGAATATTTAGATCTGACAGTGAAGATTTAGATCTTACGGTGAATATCTGACAGTGAAGATTTAGATCGGTGAATATTTATATGTTACGGTGAATATTTATATGTTACGGTGAATATTTAGATCTGACAGTGAATATTTATATGGTACGGTGAATATTTAGATCTGACAGTGAAGATTTAGATCTTACGGTGAATATTTATATGTTACGGTGAATATTTATATGTTACGGTGAATATTTAGATCTGACAGTGAATATTTATATGTTACGGTGAAGATTTAGATCTGACAGTGAATATTTATATGTTACGGTGAATATTTATATCTCACGGTGAATATTTATATGTTACGGTGAATATTTAGATCTGACAGTGAAGATTTATATGTTACGGTGAATATTTATATGTTACTGTGAATATTTATATCTCACGGTGAATATTTATATGTTACGGTGAATATTTAGATCTGACAGTGAAGATTTATATGTTACGGTGAATATTTATATGTTACGGTGAATATTTATATCTCACGGTGAATATTTATATGTTACGGTGAATATTTATATCTGACAGTGAATATTTAGATCTGACAGTGAAGATTTATATGTTACGGTGAATATTTATATGTTACTGTGAATATTTATATCTCACGGTGAATATTTATATGTTACGGTGAATATTTAGATCTGACAGTGAAGATTTATATGTTACGGTGAATATTTATATGTTACGGTGAATATTTATATCTCACGGTGAATATTTATATGTTACGGTGAATATTTAGATCTGACAGTGAAGATTTATATGTTACGGTGAATATTTATATGTTACGGTGAATATTTATATCTCACGGTGAATATTTATATGTTACGGTGAATATTTATATCTGACAGTGAATATTTATATGTTACGGTGAATATTTATATGTTACGGTGAATATTTATATCTCACGGTGAATATTTATATGTTACGGTGAATATTTAGATCTGACAGTGAAGATTTATATGTTACGGTGAATATTTATATGTTACGGTGAATATTTAGATCTGACAGTGAAGATTTATATGTTACGGTGAATATTTATATGTTACGGTGAATATTTAGATCTCACGGTGAATATTTATATGTTACGGTGAATATTTAGATCTGACAGTGAAGATTTATATGTTACGGTGAATATTTATATGTTACGGTGAATATTTATATGTTACGATGAATATTTATATCTCACGGTGAATATTTATATGTTACGGTGAATATTTATATCTCACGGTGAATATTTATATGTTACGGTGAATATTTAAATCTGACAGTGAAGATTTATATGTTACGGTGAATATTTATATGTTACGGTGAATATTTAGATCTCACGGTGAATATTTATATGTTACGGTGAATATTTAGATCTGACAGTGAAGATTTAGATCTTACGGTGAATATTTAGATCTGACAGTGAAGATTTATATGTTACGGTGAATATTTAGATCTGACAGTGAAGATTTAGATCTCACGGTGAATATTTAGATCTGACAGTGAAGATTTATATGTTACGGTGAATATTTATATGTTACGGTGAATATTTATATGTTACGGTGAAGATTTAGATCTGACAGTGAAGATACAGAAGTGTATTTTGAAAGTTGCATGCTTTTCGGGGTCAAGTGATTTAAAATGTGTGAAACTCATGTAAACATATTTATCTACATAATCAAGAGGCGCGAAGTCTGATATTCGGTTAGAGACATACTGAAGTATGGAGTTACCGGGTTTATTTAAACGAATGACATTGCCCCACTTTCTAGGTAAAGATCCATACAGTGGCATGATATTCCAACTGGTACATGTTTTAGAGCTTTGTGAATTACCTAATCACATGAACAGAATTATAAAACCATTTTCAAAACCATATACGGTATATCAAAATGTTGATTAAAATAGCATATCATTCGAACAAACTTGGTAAAGATTTAATAACCAGAAGTATCTCATTTTGATATTACAGTAATGAATACTTAGAATTCAGATCTATATATCTATGGGCGTCTTCTTATTTAAATATACTATTGATTGATGTATAGCTATTGTCAAGTAAAACCCTTCATTTTCAGATTCTGGAAGGAGTTGGTGATCAACCCGGCTAACCCCTCTTACTACTACCTCTCACTGCTGGTGACGTGCGCGATCCTCTATAATCTCATCTTCGTCATTCTCAGGGGCACGTTTTACGAGACCAACAACGCCAGTATGATGAAAATCTGGATGCCTCTCGACTACTTCTGTGACTCTCTCTACATTCTGGACATGTTTTTCATGAGTCGAATAGGTAATATACACACAAAGTCTGTGTTCAGAAATGTAATGTTCGTTTGTTTGTTTGTTTTTTACATACAGAATATATTGTTGACGTGTTTGTAGGTCAAACATCTAACAAAAATATCTGTCAACTAGAAAAGGTACAGTAGTCCACACATGGAAAAACGGACTTTTTTTTATTATTCAAGTAGAATGTACATGCATGTCTGACAAATATACAAAGTATGCAACGCACGTTCATGTAGAATACATATTTTAGGAGCCTTTCAAAATTTAATGCAAGCACATACTATAAGTTACATATCAGACATATAATTCATGCACATCGCAATCTAAATAAAATCAGTTCTCCCTTTTCTCTTCGTAAACTCGTTATACGGTCAGAGAATATATAGATATAGAACTGACAAAAATGTAACGCAGGTATACAATTGCATGTAACCGGAAAAAATCACACGCGCATGTGTATGCATGTCGGATATGTAATGCAGGTGCATGTTAAATATAAATCCTCTTTTGCGTTTTCAGAAACCACCATCTTATTATATTACAAACATTTTTGTTTCATTCTCAGGGTATTTGGAACAAGGTCTACTGGTGAGGAAAGTGGACTCTCTCTCTAAGAGATACCTTCTATCGTTCCTGTTTATAATTGACCTACTAGCTATCTTGCCACTGGAGTTTCTTTACTTTGTGGTCGGTTACAACGCTATGTTACGACTGAACAGAGTTCTAAAGTTATGGAGAATGAGAGATTTCTTCAGACTGGCCGAGACTCATACCAACTCTCCCAACATGTTCCGAGTAGCCAACCTCATTCTGATGATCCTCGTCATTATTCACTGGAATGCATGCGGTTATTTCGCGCTCAGTCGGTTTTTCGGTTTCGGTACAGATGAATGGGTTTACCCTGATCCAAACACCGGAGACCATGACCAGTTTATCAAGCAATATGTCTATAGTTTCTACTGGTCAGTTTTGACCCTGACGACTATAGGAGATACCCCTGTACCAGAGAGGACAGCTTCTTATATGTATTGTATCGGTTGTAGTCTTGCTGGTGTATTGATTTTTGCTACCATTTTTGGAAATGTCGGTGCCATGATAAACGAAATGAACGCCCAGCGTACGAATTTTCAGCATAAAGTAGACGCAGTAAAAAGATACATGGAGATAAGGAAAGTTGGTGGCGAGCTTCAGGAGCGAGTTGTCAAGTGGTTTGATTACACATGGAATAACAAACAGTCAGTAGATGACAGACAAGCCCTGGAATTTCTACCGGAAAAACTGAGAGCGGAAATATCTATACACGTGCATTTAGATACTCTTCGAAGGGTGGCCATATTTAAGGATTGTGAACCGGGATTACTTGTAGAGCTTGTATTGAAACTCCGACTACAAGTTTTCAGTCCGGGCGATTACATATGTCGTAAGGGAGATATTGGTAAAGAAATGTACATTGTAAAACGTGGGAAATTGCAAGTTGTCTCGGAGGATGGAAAAACTGTGTTTGTGACACTTAGCGATGGTGCTGTATTTGGCGAAGTTAGTATTCTAAATCTAGCCGGAAACAAAACCGGAAATAGACGAACAGCTGGTGTCAGAAGCATGGGTTACTCAGACCTGTTCTGTCTTTCTAAGAACGATCTTTGGGAGGCTCTTCAAGAGTATCCCGAAGCTAAACAACTTCTTAGTGAGAGAGGAAAACAAATTCTACGGAAAGATAACCTTTTGGACGAAGAGGCAGCAAGGCGAGAGGAAAGGCGGCGGCAAAACCTCGACAAAAAGATTGAGCTTATTGCGGACTCGCTTGATGACCTAAAAAATGACGTCAACGCTCTCATGGATCGGATCAATAAAAAGGCAAGAGATAAGGCGAAGACAGAGGAAATGGTCATCGAAATGCTGAAAGTAAAGGAAAGCGGTTCATCACAAAAACAAGAGACAAAACCGCCTTCAGCTAAAGATACAGAAACTAGACCTTCGGTGGAAAAGAAAGAAAGCAAACCTTCCTCGGCGGGAAAGAAAGAAATTAAACTTTCTTCAGCGGGAAAAAATGAAAGTAAACCTTCTTCAGCGGAAAAGAAAGAAAGTAAACCTTCTTTAGCGGAAAAGAAAGAAACCATCGCATCTGATAAGAAGGATTAAACCAAATCTACAACTGAAAACTAAAGATGTAGGTCTTCCGTTTGCACATACAATAGATGATCACTTTTCAAACAAAAAATAAGCTTGCTTGGTGGGAAATGATACAAAAATTGGCCAAATGCATTTTGAATAATGTCGCGGAATGTAAGGACGGGAAACGGGAGATGCGATCACATATATACTCAAGAGTATATTGCATGGCATTGTTATTTATATACATACATATTGAAAAGATTTTCAGTGTCTATCTTACGAATACATCGAATACACGGTTCTGTTAATTAACACTATGAGTTAATTAGGTATCGATAATGATGTCAGGGTTAGATTTTGTTTAATTGCTTTTTTTGTTCCTTTTATGTAACTATCATGTGAATCATTGAAAACATGTCAAATTTGTTGAAATCCAATGTTCTTTGTATGAATATGTTCACTGTAATATGTGTTGTGTTGACGCCGTGTATATATATTACACATACGTTGTATTGCTTTTGTATTTTATAATGCTGTTCGAATATGTACGAGGTATTTCTGTGATGAAATTAAACATGCATCATATGTACAGCTATTTCCATTTTTCTGTCGCTTGAGACGTTTAAAAATAAGGCTATTTTATGTATGGTATATGAACATACAATGTCCCTGAAAATAGACTAGATTAATGTAGTAAAATTAATTTGTCATACACGTTTTCACAAAGAGACAGCTATAAAGAGACAGCTATAATACGAGAGAGAGAGAGGAGAGAGAGAGGAGAGAGAGAGAGAGAGAGAGAGAGAGAGAGAGAGAGAGAGAGAGAGAGAGAGAGAGAGAGAGAGAGAGAGAGAGAGAGAGAGAGAGAGAGAGAGAGAGAGAGAGAGAGAGAGAGAGAGAGAGAGAGAGAGAGAGAGAGAGAGAGAGAATGATATGAAAGAATATGTATGGGGCAGAACTTATGATAAAATTGACCTTATATTTTAAGGCTTTGGGAAAAATACACCTAAACAAAACAAACACAAAGCTAAAAAATACTATGTAACAGCTAGTTTTTCTCACATTAGCTTTGAAAATATCAAGCTATAACCTGTTTTTACATAAACTTTGACATAACTTTCTATAGTCTGTTCCACAATTAGTAAACAAATCTATGTTTACAAGTGTTTATGAAATTGCTTGTCACTTGGATGTATTTTTGGAAACTGATTTGAGTGAATCTATAAAACCCTTAACATTTATCATGTTTAGTCCGCCATCAACGTAGTCCTGAATAACAATATCACTTTTAACTTAATCTCTTCTACTATTCCATACACATCCAAACACTGTAGTAAACTGAGAGAGAAATGTTTCATTTGGATTTGGTAGTGAGATAAACAACTGATTGAACTCTAAAATTAGTAACGATTTAATGATGCTGATTTTACCAATTAGAGTCAATATTAATCTATTCCGTGTTCTGACGAGTTTATTCTGTTTCATCACTTCATGCATACTATGCCTATCAATATTGAACAGGAAGTAAACATTAAGATACCGGAAGTAGCATAGTAGATATTGGAGGTAAAATACTGTGATGAATTCCGGAATTGTACTTTTCTAACGAGTAGCATAAAGACAACACACAAGAGTACAAACACTATATATCAAAGCAAAATGTCCAAATCGAAAGAAGAATATTGAAAAACGAATCTGCATATATACACACCGGAATAAAAGAAATTTAAATCCCAAAAAGTTATACCAGTCACTGCTGCTAAATTTCCAGAGAATTGACACAACACGCACGCACGCACGCACACATCCACCCACTTACCCAATCATCCATCCACACACACACACACACACCACCACCACCACCACCACCACCACCACCACCACCACCACCACCACCACCACCATCCCCCCACACACACGCGAACGCACGCACGCACACACACACAAACTATTTCAAACTGAAAAATATCGAGTAAACCAGGAATGATTGCTGACGGCACCCTCGTGCTAAGACCGTTATCGACCATGACTGTTAAATTACATAAAAGACTATATGCGTGTTTGATTTCGGCCAAGCATTGTAATACTTAAAATAGGCGCTTCACAAAATTATAACACTCTCCGATAGAAATTGATAAGGATTATCATTGGGACCTTTCGGAGCCTCGTTTTAACCGGTCGTTCTGATATTATTTCTTACTATGTATAATTATGTAATTAGACAAACCTGATTTGCCACCGATGTTTCAAGTCTTACTTTGTAAAATGACCCCTTGTTTCACGCTATACGCGTGACAGGGCGAAATAAATGAATTTGGATTGATCTGAATGCGTAAGGACATTGTTTAAACCCTCCGAACGATAATGATATGAATTAGTGTTATTTTAATGTTTTGACCTTGTTAATTAAATGGTTACGCAAACTTTCAAATATCATAATTAACAGAAATTACACAATTTTTAACAGATCTTTAAATGTTATAATGCTTGTTATCAGTTATGAAATGAATATCTTACAATTTGGTCTCTTTAGGATTACTCCGTCAAAACTGAAATTTGCAAGGATAAGTTACATTTTTCTAAGCTTCGAACGAAGTTGAAATCTTTCACATGCACTCATATGTTCCAGAGAGCAGCTCAAAATTATTTCGGCACGGAAACATCGTCTGAGATGGGACTCCACAAACAAGAAAATGCCATGACACAGGAATCGATTGCATTCTCAAGTTTGTTAAAATGACGAACAAAAAAAGCCACAAATACGCAGAAACTATGATCTTAATATAAGTATTTTATTTACTTCCAATATGCAGAAGGGCATCAATCACGTCTCCTTTATTCCTCAGCGCGCGAATAGCCTCGTTTCTGTCTACGTGAAGTTGTGACATCATAATATCAATGTCTCTCTTATCCAATCCATCTTCGTTCTCCGCACGCTCCCCGATCACCTGGAACACTGCCTTAGGGCGAATAACTGAACGGATGTTGTCTGACGTCATCACCTTGCCCTTGTGTATCGTCTTGAGTTTGTCAAGAGGGATAGTCATCTCGCTAGCAATGACCTTCACGACGTCCTCGCCTGACCAGGTATTTTGTATAACAATTGTCCGTTTATCGTTGTTTCCCTTGACAACAATCTGTTCGTGAGGTTGACTAAGGTCGGGTGTCGGCGCGTCACTCATATAAACATTGTTATTTAGGTACATCCTGGAACCGGAAGTGCCGTCTGCCGAAGAATAGGCTGAGGCATCTGTGTGTGTCTGCTCCTCCCTATTTACTTTGTGCAAGGCTTTTTGGAAGTTTACCGGTGGGCTATAGGGCAATGTGTTGCTCTCTAAAATAGGATGAAAAATATTGTAAAATTATCATTTTGATTTGATCGAGATGAAGACTGATGGAGCGAAGATAACTGGTAGCCATAACTGTTTTATTTCATTTCGGTATCAACACCAGCTGGGCACAGAATGCTCACGGTATGATCCCGTGTCTATTAAGTAACATCTCATTCCACAATATTTTCCACAGTATCGTTTTAGATAGAACAACGTAATTGCTCTCTCGCATCGGAAAATATAAAGTGACAAGTGCCTTTGGCAAAAATAATGTAAAATTGTGTCATTAACGCACTTATCCGGTAATAAGCCTATATTTGATAATAAGCCCACTTGTGTCTATAGCAGTTCAGATCCCAGTCATAAGCCCACTCCTGTTTTCAGTAAAATAAAGCGTCTTGACGATATGGGTTTATTACAAAATACATCTGTAACCCTGGTAAAATATATGGGCGCCCATGTAAGGGCCCGGGAAGAGTACTCAGCCATGCAACACCAGCATCGCTGTAGCCCCTGAAAACTCGAGTTATTTCCTGGAGGGGGAGTATGTAACCCTGGTAAAATACATGGGCGCCTCCACTAGGAATCGAACCCGGGATCCCTGGCTTACTAGTCTGACGCTCAACCACTCGGCTAGGGAGAACTTCTCTTTAGCTCGACTTGTTGAGGCTCAGACTTGTTAGCCAGGGGTCCTGGGTTCGATTCTTAGCGGAGGCATTGAAATAAATAATGACCTCTGTTACACATTCATGTGAGGCATTGAGATCTAAACAAATGTATTCATAGAAATATATTTATAAATAACAGAACAGTGATAAGACTATTACCATCCGTGAAAATCGTGCCATCGTGTCTATATTGTTTTGGTGTGTCAGTTGTTGAAGACCCGTCCGCTATGGAACTTGTCCGATGTCTCTCTTCCTCCGTCTGCCGGATACAAGAGTACTTGTGTGTGACCCAGTCACGTAACTGACATGACCTGGAACTGGACAATAAGAAGCAATATAACTGTGTTGCGTGTTCGTTAGACCTCAAATATTGTAATCAGCAATTAGGCAAAACACGAGTAGTTACATGAATACAGGTTCCGCAATGATGAAACATAGTTGCACAATATATATTTGTATCTTCGTGTTTATCACGTACAATCACGGTATAAATCATAAATATATTTATATATATATATACATGCATATGAGATCTACTTTAAGTAAAAAAAAAAAAAAAAAACATTCGTTTGACTGATCTTCAAAGGTAGGTACAACAAGTATAATGTACGTCACCTGATAGATAAAATGAAAGCCTCTGTGTTTTGACGGCAACAAATTAGAGAAAATATGAGGGCTTTATTCTGACGGAGCCTATCATTAAAAACAGCCTTCCAGAGTGAGCGAAGAGTATAACTTATAAGAAGACAATACTAAAATTTGAAATGACGAGATAAAATGAAAACATGCTACTCTGTCTATAACATGTGACTACCATATCAGAAGTATTCCTCTTTATTTATTTGTTTATTTATTTATTTACTTATTTATTCAGAGAGCCATTGGCTCTCTTAACCATTTTATAAAAGTGATTTTCGTCGATACTAAATTTGAATATATACACGGGACATGTAACTAAGTTTAAATGTAGAGACTTATACAAAGCGGCGATGACTTTATAACATTTGTCAGACAGACATCACAATAATTACTCCATGAACATATTGGAGAAAACAAAGTTGGAGAACCAACACTCTTGAAGTCTTAGATTGCGGTATGGTTCTTAGATGGATACCACAGGGTATTCAATAGAGATCCTTAGAATATGTAAACATGAAACAGTAAAGGAAGGATATTCAACATCCAGGAAATCTTGTATCTGTTTATTCTTAAGAATAAACCTCCATGAACATATTGTGATCTGAACACTGGAGCTATATACTACCTGGATTGTCCTGTACAGTCTACATGTAAATTCATGAACATGTCATTATTGACATATTCAAATATTTCCAACACGCACTCTAGATAATTGTTTATGCTAAGAAGCTCTGGTAAAGACGTGTATGCATGTGCCTGTACGAATTTTGTGAAATAACCCGTTGAAAGTTATCCCGATGACAGAAAAGATAATTATGAATTATCATTGGTCGTGCAGTTGGGTGAATTTCATTTTATTTGTACAGTAGTGTTTATCCCTTTCTTATTTTATGAATGGTATGGTCATTTGACTGTATAGTATGTCACAATGGTGCGGTTACAAAAATACCATATCATAATATATCATATCATAATATGACGTTAAAGTAAACTATTTTTTGTCAAATTAAAAGTTAAATACAAGAGCGAGTCAACAGAATTTTAACATGTCAAAATTTGTTAGGTCACTCGGTCGAGGTAGAGAAAATGTCCTTCCGTCAAAACGGGTGACATTCTTTTAATAATCTATGAAATAATGATGATGATATACCAGTATAACACATTACGACACCTCGTGCACCTCTTCATCACGCGCTCCAGCCTGCCACATACTTTGCATGACGCGTTTGAGTCCATTATCATGTCAAATACAATATGTTGGTAAATGTAAGATGTGTCGGAACTTCACCTCGTCGTAGCAACCTTTGTTTGTGCTGTTGGAGTGGTCTCCCCTTCACACGTATTTCACTACCGCTCACCACAGACTTCCGCTTATATTTCTTTCTTTTATTTCGCATACGGCATTCATTCCAATAAACGTCCCGAGGGCGTGCAATTTTCGGAGGAAAAGGCGTTTGATAAAACACTAAATTCAGAAAGTAGTTAATTTAAAGTTATAGACAGAGTCTACAGCTATCATATCTGTGTAATGCTTCAAATATTGGTAAACAAATTAACAAATGTTTTGGCATTGATTTGAAAAATTGCTCCAGCATAAATATTGTTGTTATTTGTACTCATGGTGACCTGTACTTGTTTATGGAATGACAATTAGACATAGCATGTCAACGTCTGTCAGGAGATGCAGTAATTAGGTCATGACCTTGTGTTCTCTCATCGCTGGTATGTCATTATATAACATTAAAATGATATCAGTCTATAGCCATTCTGAACTCGTCATTACACCATCACCATATCGGGAACCAGAAAATAATTATTATATTTCGTTTCAACTTAAAGTTATCGTATATGTGCAAGAAAAAGAAAACATGCTGTGGCTAACATGATCTTTGTGGACAGAAAACGAGTGCGAGACTGGTATCAAAACAACGATAAATTTTAAAATCTTGCTAAAACATCTAAGTCTTGTAAAGGAGGTGGAAGGCCTCTTCGATATGAAAAAATTGATAAAAGAAATGGCTGACTGACAGACAAGAAGCCGGTAACCGGGTGTCTGGGAAAGTTTAAGCCTTTGAATCCCTACGTATGCATAAGTCAAATGGAAGCCCAGTCATTCAAAACTTCCTTTGGGTGCTTTGCAAAGTCCGAATATGACACAACATTTCATTTAGGCAATCAACTTTACTTCACACAACAAACCGTTTCCCTGAGCATCGCGTGGACAGTTTTTGTACTCCGGATGTGGCAGCTCCGTGTGTATACCGAGAGGTTTATTGTGACTATGGACGAAACACTTGTGTGGCACTCCCGGATGTTGATCTTGTCGTTAATTGTGTAGAAATGTAAAAAGAGATGCGTTTTTCACTTTTGGGATTTAATTGTTCTTTGGATTTTTGGATTTTCCAGTTTCATATTCATAAGTGTATGCGTGGATATTAGGCACAAGGCAACTTCTGTAAGCTCAGTAGGGGGAGGGGGGACCATTGGGACAAGATGTGGGGACGTTTATTAGAGACGGGGTGTTTATTAGAATAAATGCGGTTTTTCATAACTATTATAGAGAACAATAGAATTGGGTTAAAATTATTGCAACAGTATTTGGCAAACAATTGAGGTCATGAACTCCGAAAGTGACTACACATATTGTAGTAATTCACAGTGTGCACATCATTCTCAATATCATAACATTTATATCTAAAGATTTTCCTTTCAAGTCAAAAAGTTGAGTTTATGATAAGTTACATAAACAATCATTGAAAAATGAAAGTCACTTTTCATTGCCTGCAGCCAAATCATAAATGTACACAACCCAATACAATGCAATATACACGATGAAAAAAGTCAGAAAACAGTTTTCTCAAATATCCAGCTAGTAAAGGAAAAACAACCATAATCTGAGGCACACCACCAATAGAATCAATGAAGATCCTCGGACGAGGTAGAAATGGACCATTTCAATACGTAAATACTTGTAAATAATCTGTTTAAATGCTGAAACAGAACAGTGTTTTGAATCAAGCCTGATCAAGTTCATGTTGTATAACAAAAACAATCGTAGAAAATAGATGAAAAATATACTAAAACGGATGTTTTCGGACATCACGTTCAACACTAAAGGTAATGCAGAATGCGAATGAAAGTGCATGCACCTTCACGCAAGGTACACATATGTAATTATTTTTAATCGCAATGGAATTTGTGAATTTACAAAATCATATGAAATATATCTTAAGTACTTCAACCCTGTTAAAAAACTCTATACTGCACATCCCTTTGCTTGATCTGAAATGTCAGATTGTGTGTGTGTGTGTGTGTGTGTGTGTGTGCGCGCGCGCGCGTGAGGGTGTGTGTGTGTGTGATTTTTTTATATTTTTTTTCGTACTCCTATACGTACCTGCAATTGAACGCCGTGATAAAGAAGGATGAAAAGTAGAAATCTTACTTGATGTCAATTTCATTTAAGATATCTTAATTTCTTATCCGGGTATGTAGTGTGCAATAATATCTGTGTATATGCTTATATGTGTACTTCTGATGTTTTGACCGGAAGTAAGACATACTTATAGAACGAATTCCAATATAATATCTCGGACTGTTTTAAATGCTTAGTGTCATCTATAGTTGTACTAATTGGTTTAAAACGGACGATTTATATGACGTTTTGAAGAACTTGATTTCGCTCATGGACAACATTCTATTTGGAAAATCTGTATTGGTGGGGATGCCAAATATTTCTATCTATTTCGTCCTAACAAGACATGGTGTTTATAAACATCTAGTTGTTGTAGCATTTAAAGTTTAAATAATGTTTCATTTTTTACAAACATGAATTCAGTGCTTGTCGTAATTCATACAAACGTCCCACATCTAAGTTGCTGAATTCTTACTTCAGTGTTCGTCATTTTAGTTAATTTTTAATTTTTCGTCGTTGCCAGTGATGAGTGGCTGATCTAATATTGTATCGTTTCCTACAAATCGTTTTATATGTGGCAAGTGATATCTCCTCGGAGTGTGACATCGTAACATCGAATTATTCGTTACAACAAACGTACTGTTTTGTCAAAGATTGTCGGAACTGAAAACATCATCATTTTATTTCCAACATCAACATATTAGAAGTACAATAACAAATACAGAATGTAGAAAAATGGCTGGAAAACTAGATAGCTTATATATATTATACTTCTAAACAATGTTTAGCAAGCATTAGAGTGTCGTCACGTCAGTTAAAAATTGGGGCGCTAGCTTAACATTGAAAGGAGACGCAGAATATGTGAATGCTGCGAAAACAATGAAATTGAAGACGAATTTCATTTCATACTCCAGTTTGTTTTTTTATAAAGAATTAAGACAAAGGTATATTAGAAATATCATTATAAATCACCTTGCGTTTTCAAACTGGTACAGCTGTTAAGTATAAATAATGTGATTGGACTTAAATAATCTTGGCAAATATATTTATTTATCCATTAAGAAAAGAAAACCAACTTCAGATAATGGTAATTACTCTTATGTTATTCCTAAATCAATGCAAAGTGGAAAATGAATAATTACTTATATATTGATGTATACCCAGGGCTCTACGATAACTTTTTACCTCATTTGTCCTTTTGGACAAGTACTTTTGAAATCCACTTGTCCCAATTTTCAGCAACCAACGTAATCTTACATTATGTCATAATAAGTAAGTTTTTGTTTCAATTTGTGTCATTGATTGTCGCTAGCATTATATTAAAGTTTTAATTTTTCAAGTGTTGTCTTTATTTTATCTTATATAGGTAAGACAGGAATATCAAGTGACGGATCTAGTAATTACCAATGATTGAACTATATGCAGTAACCTGCAATACACAGTTGTTGAAAATCTCTTTGAATTGTGTTCATGTTTATTATAAAGACTGTATTAAAATGCATGATTGAAGAATAACACAATCAGATTATAAATCCAAGAACAATCATAGGGTTGGCTTTGCATTTAGTTATATCCACTAAGTAATACTTATTTTAATGACTGATTGAGTGACTGCATCGAACACGACATGCCGGCAGTCTCATCAAACGTCAGACCGAGATACTCGGTCAGCCATTTTTGCTGGAATGTACGCTTCCGTTTTAGTTCATACTGTTTGTTTTTATCATTTTCTGGCTGTGTCTCGATCTTTTGTTTTTTTTTTTTATTTGGACACCCCCACTATGTACACAACACGATGAAGAATGTGCTGCCAACGCGCGAACACTGCCTCCTTGGTGAGTAGAACCCACCTATAAACAAATTTGGATTCTTTTCTCAAAATTAAAGATTTCCTTCTGGCCAAATTTAGTTCTGGTCCATTTGGTGATTACTGGGGAAATGATAACGTATCAAGCTAAAAGTAGGCTACCATTGTCGGACGAATGTCAATGATCTTTTATCGGAAAGTGTTTCCGAATGCAGGTAATCCTGTTGGTACTCCCTCTCTCTCTCTCTCTCTCTCTCTCTCTCTCTCTCCCTCTCTGTCTGCCCCCCTCTCTCTCCCTCTCTCTCTTACACTCTCTCTCTCAACTTGAATATATAATCATCTTATTGATATATGCTATGTGTCATAAATGTTTTATTTTAACAGCAGTTATCGAAAACATACACCAGTCATCTGGAACAGTCTGGGTGGTTGGATGGCACATTGGTAACGCACTCGCCTTTCACCTCTGAGCCGTCCGGGTTTCGACTCCTGGAACGAGAAGGGTCACCTGCCCTACCGCGTCGGTTTTCCCGGATACCCCGGTTTCCTTCCTACAATAAGACCCTTCGCGCGCTTACATCCGGGCCAACGAGAGAGAATAGTAAAAGTTGACATAATTTGTTTCGCAATTGTTGTTAAACATCTAAAGTTTCTATTTTTCTTTAACTGTTTTAATACCGTCGTTACATTGTAATTAAGCATGTCATGGAAACGGAAATATATTTGACCTATACCAGGGACGTATAATTACAGTATCATACGTCCCTGCCTATACCGATTGTCGCACATCTTATAAGTCGGTTTGTTTTTTTAAACATATTCTAACAATTTAATAAGCGATATACATGTACACTATTTATCAAAAGGTACTTGTGAAAGTCTAACAAACATGAAGCAACATGTATTTCCACAAGATTTCATCATTTGTTGTGTATCTTCGATACCTCTCAGACATTATAATATAAGGCCATGAAGGATCCCGAGAGTTCCGATCGAAGATTGCACAAGTTTACGGTAATATTTATTTTTAGCACCGGTCTGATCAAAAGGGTATATAGGAACTTTCCAGTCGAATTCTACACTGTATCAGACTTTGACAGCAACGAAGGAACAACACTACACGTCTACAATGCGATTAGGTAGACGAACAACGTACAAAGTTAATGCAGTTGTAATTTACACATAAAATAAACACAGTTGCTATAGCAGATTAGCTGACTGTCAACAACTCAAAATGACGAAGAAACGAACATTTCTGAGGGATATCAATTCCCTCATAAAGACAATTGGAAGCGTGACAGCTGATCAGGTTAGCATCTTGATGGATACCCTTGAAGGAGAGGACGCTGAAAGGGGATATCAGGGGTCTGTTACTGCAGAAGTTGCTCCATCGAGCGGGGCTTACAAGGGAGGCAAATTCAAGTTTGAGGTAGGTTACTTCATTTATACATTGTACAACTGCAGCATTCAGCGTAGGATAGCTTTATAATTAGTTTTGTTAGAATACAGTCTATGAAATCAAAGCTAATTGAGAAAAGCTGTCCACACCTATAGCCTATCAAGTTATTATCTTACCAAGCCAGCATCCAATGCATTGACCACAGTATTAGATATCTGAGCTTCTCATACATCATATGCTATACATAGAAATGATAAAGTCTGGTCATGGTTGTGATATAGTAAAGTGATATGAACATGTCATATGGGTATGTAATAATCAACATCAACAGTATTGACAGGTGCTTGGTATTATGTCACAATGAAAGATACTATATACCTCTAAAATTGCATTTGTAACAGAATTCCTTTATAACTGAGAATTTAGAAAGAGCCATCATATATAAGTGTTGAACTCTCACTCCGTACTTCACTTTGATTCTTAACTTTGTAGACCCGAACTGCAGATGATGAATTTATATATTAATGGACTAGTATACATACAAGGAATACATGTATTTACATACATGTAGGAGTGATTAGAATTCATTGGTTACACGTTTCACATTCCTGGTTTCAGATCTATATCGTTAACGATTATCCAGAGTACCCACCTGAAGTACGCTGCCTTACAGAGATATACCACCCGAACATTGACACAGATGACACTGACAGTGAAGGTTCAAACATCTGTGTGAGTCTGCTAGAGCAGGGAGAATGGGACTCCAACATGACACTGGAGCACTGTGTACAGGCCATCCTTTTCCTTTTCTTTAACCCAAACTGGAATGATGCCCTGTCTCCGCTTTTCTCTCCAGACCTTACTGATTCCGAGTTTGAAGAAAATGTGAAAATTTCTATAGAAGGGGGATGTATTGAAGGGAAGGATTTTGAAAGAAATTATGGTCTTCCTGAAGTTGACAAAATTATAAATGATGCAGATGAGTCAAAATTAACAGATCAAGAAATTGAATTGAACAATATAAACACTGCCTTAAATAATGCAACGATAGGTAATGTTCATACATCCCCAACAGAAAATTTAGGAGTAGAACAAGACTTAGAAGAAACACAGAATGAAAATGTCTTTTCTACATGTGATGCTGCTCAGGTCAATATCGAAATTCCAACAGCAGATCTGAGTGCACAGGAAGTGGATTCAACTACACAGGAAGTAGATCTATCTACGCAGGAAGTTATCCAACAAGAAGTAGAACAAGAAACTAATCTTGATGTAGCACACGGTGAGTTCGTTCAACATGAACCTCAGGTAGAAGATGCACATGAGGGAAAAACAAATTTAGGAGAGATAATTAATATAGATGGTGAGATTAATACAGACAAAGGGGAGACAACCAAATCAGAGGCTGTTGAGAACATTTTATGTGCAATGATTTTAGACAATTCTGCTGTACAGAGCATGAAAGTGGATAAACACTCAGGTTTTCTTCATAGAAGTTTATCTGTTGGTGACACTCCACGTGGAGAAACAATCAAATTAGACAGAAATGTGATAGTGAACTTAAACAAAGAGACGGTAAACAGGTTGGAAATGCAGACCAATACAGTCTGTATGAATGTGTGTGATTCATCAATCATTAACACAGAAAGGGTTGATGAGGCTGGATGTTCATTTTCCTTGGTGGTCAATGAGCAACAACAGTTGCTGCCAGATGACCTAGAAAATACTCAAAATCTAAAAGATCAGGGAGTTTTCTCCCTTGACAGGTGCTGTGGCAATCGTGTCTTTTCTTGTAATGTTTTATAAGTCTTGGGTATGCATGGGTATATAAATGACTGGTATTTCATCCCTGTGTGGGTGTAGGTGTGGGAAGATGTGTGTGTGTGTGTCTTTGAATTGACTTGTGTGAATGTATGTGGTTGGTAAACCTTGCTTGTGTATGAAGTGCAAGTCTTATTGCAAATTACAAACAAGTTATAGGATAGTGTGTGACTTGAATGGAAGTATTGTGTTTTGTATTTATATTGAAATATATTTATTTTGAACAGAATTGTAGAGAAGTTGCATTACAGAGGTATGTGGACAATTTACTGTTGGATATTCACAGAAACGATTAAACCTATACTTATCTTTAGTGACAATATTGTAAAACCACAAAATGACTGTGTTGATTATATGTTAATGTACCTTCATAAAGATATCATCACCTCTCTCAACCCTTTCCATTTTTGCCTCTGTAACTGTCCGTTTTGTTTCATAGATATATTTTCTAAAAATCTTAACTTACCCAATGAGGACAAATCCCATCCCAATCTCCCATTTTTCTTTACGTACTTGCCAAAAATTTACTTTTTTCCTTTTTGTATTTTTTCTACCTAAAAAGATAATGCTTGGAAAAAAATTATGTGACAATATTGAACCTGTGGTATTTGCATGAACAATCAAAGGGGGATAACTGTGATATCATAACAGCTTAATCAGTGAAGTGTAAGTCTAATGTTAAATTTACGGGTTTGGTTTTTCAATTTTCATCTGTTATTCATGACATCATAGCTTTAAATACTTACTGCCATTTGTGACAAGACTAATTGACAATATACAGATTTCCTATGAATTTGAGAAAATGGCTGCCGACTAGCTGAAATATGTTTACCTCAGATAAGTGCATTCCTGAAACCCTGTTGCAGTTGTGAGCAATCCATTATTCACACTGTATTTTTCTAGTTATAAGCCCATGTCTGGTAAAAGGACCAACTAATATATTTCTATTTAGTAAATTTATTAGCACATGTTGTAATTATTTTTTTGTACAATAAGCCCACCCCTGATCCTGACTTCAAATCATAATTTCTGCAGGTCCTCTGGGAATATAGCAAGAGAATAATGGTAATAAAGTGAAGGAGTTAATTTCTGTCTGTTTCCTCATTATACCAGAATCTGGAGGGAGGGCACAAACAAATATTGTTAATGATATTTTCATTTAACATAATTTGACATTTATTTAAAAAAATACAGTGTGTACTCTTTGTTTGTATATCACATGTTAAAGTATTTGTCGGTTCAAGTGAGTGAACAGTTTAAATCACTGCCCATAAATCAAATGACATATTTAGTTTTCATACCATATTTTATCTAATTAGTACACTAATGAAAAGTGCTTCCTAAAAATTTCATTTTCTCTAAAAATCACATTAGTGCTATTAAGTATTCACCATCTTACTTTTGAAAATATTGCATTTTGTCACGTTTTAAAAAGCAAGATGGAATATTCTACATTTTCCCTGTTTGTTTAGTGCCCAGGGTGCTTATAAGATAAAATGTGGTACTGAAAAGTAAATATATTGTTAACAGTACATAGTAATTTATCAACATATTTATGTTATATACAAATACGTAACAGAGAAATTGGATTTTGATTTCTTCTTCAGAGACATATTTGCCAAACTCTCCCTTCATTTCCTTTCTAAGGTATTTTTAGTTGTTCATTTATACTAAAAATATCAGTGATATTGTTTCATTCACAGTATTGTTTATATATTTGCTAAGTATGGATTGAATGATGTTATAGGTTTTATTGAGCTGAGTTCAAGTGTAACTGCTGATGTGTTGAAATCAAATTACAGTTATAAAATATATTATACAAATGTACAAATGATAATCTGTTTGTGTTGTTTTGTTGGCCCGAAGGGACAAGTGAGCTATAGGGATAACCCAACATCCACTGTCGTACATCAACTTTTCTTTTAAATCATGCTAATTATGAACAATTGATTGGATTTTAGCAAAATTTGGTCTGAAGCATCCTTGTTGGCAGGGGAAATGATTTTGTATAAACAGTAGGTCTTAACCCCTTCCGACCTGAGGGGTGGGACCCAAATGTGAAAATCTATCAATTTCTTTAAAATCTGCTGGGTATCATGTTTTTTTTTTTTTTTTTTTAGGGATGGCAGTATATTGTCCCAATTTGGTCTGAAACATGCTTGGGTGAAAGGACATTAATTTTGTACAAACTTTGGGTCAGATTCCAATTTGGCCAGAGGTTTTGGGCCCAATGGGGAAAATCTATCAGTTTCTTTGAAAAAACTATCTTGTTCAGGGATGGCATGATATTGTCCAAATTTAGTCTGAGGCATGCATGGTTGAAGGGAAATCAGTTTTATATAAAGGGTTGGTCTTGGTCCCTCTGAGGTGGAAGGGGTGGAGCCCGATAAAGCCTGTAGGAATAATTGGATTTTACCCAAATTTGGTCTGATATGTTCTTAGGGAATCAAATTTGTATGAATGTTAGGTCTTGGCTCTCTGGGGCAGAAGTGATGGAGTCTAATCAGGGAAATAGAGTAAATTCTTTAAATTCTCCTGTAGGAATGATTGCATTTCGCCCAAATTTGGTCTGAAGCATTCTTTGGTAAAAAGGAAACTGAGTTTTGGGCAGAACTCACTGTGGGAAATAGAACCAATTCTTTAAAGGTCCCTTTCCGAAGGAATACTTGGATGTTTACCAATTCGGTCTGAAGCACCTTTGGTGAGGGGGAATCAGTTTTGTTTGAATTTTGGCCCCCAGGATGGGGAGTAGGGGACGTATGGCCAAATAGGGAAAACAGAAAAAAATTCTTTAAAATTTATGATTTGTTGGAATGATTCAGTTTTGTCCAGATTTTATCTGATGCATCCTTGTGATGCAACTAACCCCCTGTGGAAGGAGGGTTGGACCTAATATGAGAAACAGATACAAGTATTTTAGATACCCAATTTCTTGGTAAAAGTTCATCAATTTGAGTAAGCTAGGCCATGTGAGCATGAGCCTAGAGGCCTATATATATATGGTTATTCTAAATTCCTTAAATTACTTTAGTACAACTTTAAGTACAGAAGAGATGACATTAAATTGTTTTGAAAAAATTACTGTTGTTTGTTAAAAAATTTGCTATATAGCAGGGTAAAAGCCCATCCACCTGGAACAAGAAATCCACACGTGTGACGCAATATGACCTCAATAGCTGCACATGAAATTACTGAAAACTTTGCTTTTTATCTTAACGGGTTTCATTTCATAAACTCAGATGTAGATGTAGGCACAGACTACTTTAACTAAAAAACAAACATGCTGATTTTTCTATGTTACAATATAAACTCAGACGTTTATATCTATGGCCTCAGCTACTTCAAATAATATTCTAATCCAATTCACACCAGGCATACCCAACTGAAGTAAATATCTACCAATTTTTAGGACTATTGTGTAAAAGATATCAAACAATTCAGGACCGAGATGTGTATGATGTGTTAAATCATACTACCTTCACATGATGTGAGTTGTTTTGATGAAAGGAATTTCTTCAATTTAGGCGATTATTAAGCGTATGAAATAACAACCACTGGAATTCACCTACACAGTATAAACATTTACATACATTTTTTTTCTAGATTAAGCATTCACAACATTTGAGTAATTACGTAAATCCAATAGTTAAACTAAGCAGGAATTCCATGTATGTCTGTTCACATATTTGATGAAATAGACTTAAATTGAATATAGATATACAGTTAAAGGTTGAAAACAATTGATTTACTAATGACTAGAACATATTTTTATTTGTATTCTAACAATTTGAATTCATTGGAGAGTAAGTTTAGGTAAGTTTATACTTAAAACAAGCGTGATGATTTACAGAGGAGACAACTCTGGTGTGGAATACGACTTATAATCAGCGATGGTCAGCACCTGGAGAGATTCACATGTGGGCTTTAACTCCCTGTCAGGTTATGATTCATAATTAATTAGTAACACAAAGATGGGGTTTGTAATAATTGGTACCAATGACCTTTTTATGATGTTTAGCACACAGTTGAAGGCATTTAGGGGTATCCATTGGATATTGACCCAGTCACTCCCTTCTCCTCCTCAGAAGAAACAACATGCTATAAAAATAGGTCCAAAATAACCGAATTTAATATAACATGTACTCAGGCCCATGTAGAGAGGGATATAGACAATTTGCTTGAAGTCCATGTATGGCTTTTGGAAAGGGATATTTGTTGTAAAATTTTGCACGATATAAATCATTTAGTTATTATACAAACATTTTTGTTGTTTCTAGTGGCGAGTTTATAATTCATAGCGAAAAAAACTAAAAGGCAAATTATAAAAATTAACCGATAGCCCCCAGGGAGGATCGAACTCCCGACCCCTGGTTTACAAGACCAGTGCTCTAACCACTGAGCTATGGAGGCTCGCGTCGACCAGCGCTTTAATGTTTGTTTAGAATTCAAATATTATAAAGTGGCAGACAAAAGATAAAACCGTTTAGTATTACAAATTAAATTTCTCAGGATATTTTCGATTCGTCATTTAAAAAAATGTTGGTTTTATTTCCTTATCCCATTAGCTCAGTTATTATCCTTGTTTGAAAGGAAACACATTGTCTAAGTACCTCAAGGACTACATCATTGTTTTGAAGAGCCTCTCCAAACATTTTATCTGATAAGAGATGTTACTCTTTTGTTTAATCAGAGACGTATATATACGTGTCTGCTGATTATGTACTGTATACATTACACTCAGAACCTCTCTAGAGTGTCTGCTGATTATGTACTGTATACATTACACTCAGAACCTCTCTAGAGTGTCTACTGATTATGTACGGTATACAGTACACACAGAACCTCTCTAGAGTGTAGGCTGATTATGTACGGTATACATTACACACAGAACCTCTCTAGAGTGTCTACTGATTATGTACGGTATACAGTACACACAGAACCTCTCTAGAGTGTCTACTGATTATGTACTGTATACATTACACACAGAACCTCTCTAGAGTGTCTACTGATTATGTACGGTATACATTACACACAGAACCTCTCTAAAGTGTATACTGACTAATGTACTGTATACATTACACACAGAACCTCTCTAGAGTGTCTGATGATTATGTACGGTATACATTACACACGGAGCCTCTCTAGAGTGTCTGCTGATTATATACGGTATACCTTACACTCTGGTAAGGCACATGGTCTGACTGAAAGAGATACACGACCACGGCGACTTTATAAATCGATTTACTAGTATTTTTTATGGGTCGATGTCACTTTTCAAATATGTCGTTTCCGATGAAAACTTGACAAGTTTGTAAACAGGAAATGAAAGTATCATGTTTTCTATACCGTTAAAAGTATATTTTGAAGGGAATTTCATATCTTTGATATATCCTCATTCTAAACTTGTGAAATTTGCTCAGTTGATCACCTATCCCAGTCGTTCCGTTCGAGTGATGCCTCCGTGACGTCACGTGAGTGCCTTGGTGATAACCGTCACAGCGATGGTCAGAATAAACTTGGATGTACAAGCGTCATTAGCATAACAAAACACAAGTAAAAACATCCAAATAAAAAAATTCTCAAAACAGCTTCTCTTCAAATTTAGAAGAAAAAAAATACTGGGGTGAAATCATGATGATTCTGCTGATTATTTGAAGAATTTGAGTTTTAAAATTACTTTTGTCTAAAGCAGATATTTTCATTCGTGTATTATTTAGCTTAATACAAAACTGTGACTGTTTTATTGTTGGCTAGTCACGTGATTACTTATTGAATTTATTAACTGCTTTGGCATATGTACTGAACCTGTGTACTATTGAACAATAGTGGGGGTATAGTGTAGACCACATCAGCTCCTAAGCAGCGAAATTAACGGGGTATTTATTTTACCTCTTATAATCTATGAAACAACCGGAGACATATATTTCACACAAACAATTAAGGTTGTCAAATATTCAGTGAAAAGGATAACGTATCAATTTTTTTTATAAATTTAATTTGAAAATATCGGATGTAGTAAAACTTGGGTGAAGCTAACTAGTATTAAAATGTACGTGTCTGTTGGGATACGTTTTACAAGATATGCAGATCTGTCTTTTGTGCTGGTGTAAAACTGTATTATATATAATCACTTACTTGTGGTGGTCACTGATTATATACCTGCTACACAGAGCTAAGTTTACGTATCAAGTGGCTTAGCCATAGATCTCACCTCTGACTCCACAGGATTATGTATTTAAGAGTTTTCAAAAACATTCAATCTATCATTCGGTTCTGAACTACAGTGCCGCTTATCTGAGCAAGAGGACATACTATATCGATATATCGACGGAGTGTTAGTCATAGTGTTATTGGACGCGGCCTGGGCTAGACTGGGAATATAGTCTGGGGCAATTATGATGTAACAGCATGTGAGATCTATCAAACAATTGTTCAGTCACAACACCAACACGTAGCCAAGCAGAAGACACGGTGTGAATTTACACAAAACGGAATAGGACAGAAGTTTAAAATGCCATCTCTAACTTCTCCGTGGTTCCAGCAAAGGGTAGGCCCTCCGGCCCCACCCATAATGGTACCGGAACGCTCTCCTAGCACTATGACGGAGGCGGAACAGGACGAGTTGACTCGGCGTGTGGGGCGCCCCACCACCTCATCCCGAGCCAAAGTATCACAAACGTGGAAACTGGAAAATACGTTTATGGAAAATGGGCGACATTCATGGTCGAAGATGGAATTATTCGAGGACTGTAAAAAATGTATGTGGACGGAGGGAGGTGCAAGGAAGGTCTCGTGTAAGATTCGACCATTAACAAAACACACCGGAAAAACGGAAATGTAGGCTACTTCAGGTCAACGAACAACCAGTGTTCTTCTTTTTTTTTTTTGTAATTGCTCAACGACACTTAAGCAATCGTTGTGTGGTCATCTGCGCTGTCCGGATTCAGGTCAGCTTGACCAACATCGAAAATATCAGTATTACGTTGTGTCATTCCTGTTATGTGTGTTTGTGTGTTCTATAATCATCTCACGTTTCCATGACAACCATATAGATACTGAGAACTGCTTACCAATTGTGGCATGTATCTTCGCTTGTCATTATTCGAAGGAAATTCCTTTTACCGGGAAACGCTAAACGAGAGGCCTCATTACTCCGAATTTCGTCCAACCGAACAACGTTTGGGGACATTTTCAGTGTTCACATTTCTTGTTTTGAAAAATCTACTTGAGGAAAGTTGTGCAGGTAGTGTCTAGACGGTGGAAACATTCATTGACGTATGAACGGGACATTCATAGTTACGGGGAAAAGGACGGAATTTCAATTAAGAATTAAGAGATCGTTTTAAGAAAGTGACTTTGGACTCATACTGAAATTCGACGAACACCAGTTTTGTGATTAGCAGGGATTGGATCTACTGATACATCATGTATACATAGATATAAGATAACAAATCAAATAGATATTTAATTTTCTTTATATTGTATATTTAAATCGTGAACACTTATATTTACCAATCGTCTGGAATAGATATCAAGTCTATTGAATTTAAATGAAGACGATTTTGATAACCTGTATTACCCCTCAGTATTAAAGCTATTCATATTATTCAAATATAAAATATGAACTTTGTGCTTGTTGAAGTTTAAATGTAATATATATCATGTCTGTGTATCGTTTTTTAATCATGTGCGCAAATAATCGGCTAAGATATTTGATCAGTGCTATGGAATGGGCTATCGATTTTGTGGTACATATATATATGTTCGACCTCTAGTTCTGGTGTCTCGATAGGCCGTGTGTTGTCGAGCGTATTATGTCTACGGGCCTACACGGTGTATTAATTAAGGTATAGTTAAACTATACAGTCAGAATTACTTTGTAATTAATAATGCACACCTCCGCCGAGAGAGCCAGGTAGATGTCAGTATATATACCCCTTATAATTAGTGCTGAACGATACAAGTTGTGTGATGTATTATGGGTTTATACATACAAATATACCTGTGTATTTTCCAGTTTGGCACATTAAATTCTAGTCATTATAACAGTGTAACAGTGTGGTTTCAATAAATATTTATATGAACTTCCGTCTACGTGTCTGGTTTGGTGATAGTGGGGATTAGGGGATATTGAGACTACACCTGATAAATATAGGTACAACTGTAACAAGGTTAGCATATAGGATATATCTGACTCTCATGATCATAAATAAGTTTGTTTTATCTAAATTTTAATTTAAGTTATTTTTTTCTGTCCAGTGAGATAAAAATAGACGAACCATGTATACAGACATGAAGGCAAAATAAAATGATATTGTTAATAGTTTCCAAAGAGAATGAAAAAAAAACTGGGATAAGAGGTTCTCGGAGCGAATCTCAATCAGAGATAATGTTTGACCAATTAGCAAACACGAGATTTTTTCCCTGTGTGACAGATAAGCGGAATTTAAACCACGGGAAATGGGAGAGAGCTTTGAGTAGCCAAAGACTACATATTTTGCGTTTGTTCCAGTAAAAAGATTCGTTAACTAAATCTTCTGTCACGTCCTCAAGTTAAGAACCAAAATATTTGTTGCATTTCAAATTAAGACATTTTGTTGTATACATATCTCAAACTTCTGTCCACATTATTCAGAGGAGAAAATAACCAATATATCTCAGTTTCGCAAAAATATGGTAACACGTATTCGTACACTCACGTGACTTTTATCAAAAGTGGAAGGTGCATCATAAGCTATACTTCCTTCTATCGACTTGTTAAAAAAAACGAATTGTGTCAGTTTGAGCATTTTTTCCCGAAAACGTGTTGTTCCCTACATCTGCTATTTGGCTGAACGAAAGAACGAAACTGATTTTAAACACCGATTGTCTTTTCTATTTTACCAAGCCTATGTAAGGTTGTGTCAGAAAAGGCCGTCTTAACTTGTTTTAATTAGTAATTACATCGAACCCTGGTTAGCGAGATAGCAGTTTTCCAACAAAAATCTAGCGGAAATGATTTTCATATTTTACAACAGTGATAAATAAGCACGGATGGATGGTGTAAGATTTTGGTTTTACAAAGAATGTCAGTTAGTTACTGAGGGTCACGAATAATACTACTATAACTGGAGTCTTGATATATACCACGTAATTAATTAGGTTGGTGAATATTGAAAACTCAGTCTGCTCAACGCAAATTCGTGCGAAACTGAGGCCGAGTATTCTAAAATTTCATATATGAATATGAAAGGGTGGCGCGTTACATTAAATCTGTTTTTTTTTCAAAATTTACAAACCTTAAATATAAAAAATATACTTTAAGACTTGAAAGCCTGTTTTAATCACACATAGGAAGCAAAGGATACCTCTATCGGAAATCCAGCATATCAAGTTTTCGGTAAAGGACGACATATTGGGTTTATTCTAATTGAGAGAGCAATTAATATGAGCATATACGCTTGTTTTCCCGTCAGTAGGATGATATATGTGTAACCCTGGTAAAATACTAGCCGTAATATACCACACGGTTAGGGAAAACTTCTTTTTAGCTCGATTGTTTGACTAGTGAGCTAGGGGTCCGAAGTTCGATTCCTAGCGGAGGTATTGAAATAAATTATGACCTCTGTTCCATATGTATGATTATTATTGTTGAATATATTTAATGAAATATTGTCTGAATTAAATTTATTGGAACACTTGACCTAGAGGGGCCAGAGTTCAAGTCAGGATATAATTCGTTGCCCTCTCACAGGCGTGTTTACAGTGACTTGGCATTAATCAGTATATTTATTTCATGCTGGCACCGACAATTCAATTCAGTTACGCATGCCGAGTACCATTTGAATAAAACAGTTCAGTAATTTAGAAATAATATATTAATTGTGTGCATTTATTTGGAACGATCACAGCATATAGAATTCGAATGTGTCTCCACACATTGTGTAATCAACAAGCCTCGATATGTAGGGCGTTTGTCAGATAATTTGGCCGAAACTCCATCTAGATAAAAAAAATGACAGAGATGTATTGTTCGATGAATTAGGGCTGTACAACACATGTCACCGATGATATCACAAGCCATAACTAGTCGGCATAATTCGGAAACATACAGCAAGTTATTTTGTGGAAGGTTATATACATTTGTATTTAGCGATTGGCTTGATACAAAAGTATTAGTCCGGCCACAGTATTTGATCATGCATGTGCTCCATTGACCTCGCTCCATTATTGATTATACAATGGCAATAAAAACGACAATGAGAGATAAGTGAAGTTAAATTTACAGAAAAAAGCCTCGTGTTTTCATGTCAGTCTCCAAGGAATCACGTCCTGGGCGTGGATGTGTGTTCTTAAACATTAAATGCCAGTGAGAGAAGAAATGATGAGTTCAGAAGTCCTTCAGTATTTTAACAGGACGTGCTGAGGACCATAGTTCTCAAACACGATGGCTGATCTTAATGTACTGGAGGGAAAATATCATCTCACACAGGAGGGGTAGTATTTATGTATCTGAGGAACACTATTATCTCACACGGGAGGGGTAGTATTTATGTACCTGAGGAACACTATTATCTCACACAGAAGGGGTAGTATTTATGTACCTGAGGAACACTATTGTCTCACACAGGAGGGGGAGTATTTATGTACCCGAGGAACACTATTGTCCTACACAGGAGGGGTAGTATTTATGTACCTGAGGAACACTATTGTCCTACACAGGAGGGGTAGTATTTATGTATCTGAGGCACATTGTTATCTCACACAGGGTGGGGTAGTATCTATATACATGAGGAACACTATTGTCCTACACAGGAGGGGTAGTATTTATGTACCTGAGGAACACTATTGTCTCACACGGGAGGGGTAGTATTTATGTGTCTGAGGAACACTATTATCTCACACGGGAGGGGTAGTATTTATGTATCTGAGGAACACTATTATCTCACACGGGAGGGGTAGTATTTATGTACCCGAGGAACACTATTATCTCACACAGGAGGGGGAGTATTTATGTACCCGAGGAACACTATTGTCCTACACAGGAGGGGTAGTATTTATGTACCTGAGGAACACTATTGTCCTACACAGGAGGGGTAATATTTATGTATCTGAGGCACACTATTATCTCACACAGGGTGGGGTAGTATCTATATACATGAGGAACACTATTGTCCTACACAGGAGGGGTAGTATTTATGTACCTGAGGAACACTACTGTCTCACACAGAAGGGGTTGTATTTATGTTTCTGAGGAACACTATTATCTCACACAGGGTGGGGAGTATTTATGTACCTGAGGAACACTATTATCTCACACAGGGTGGGGTGTATTTATGTACCTGAGGAACACTATTATCCCACACAGGAGGGGTAGTATTTATGTACCTGAGGAACACTATTGTCTCACACAGAAGGGGTTGTATTTATGTTTCTGAGGAACACTATTATCTCACACAGGAGGGGTAGTATTTATGTACCCGAGGAACACTATCGTCCTACACAGGAGGGGTAGTATTTATGTACCTGAGGAACACTATTGTCTCACACAGGAGGGGTAGTATTTATGTACCTGAGGAACACTATTGTCCTACACAGGAGAGTTAATATTTGTGTACTGGGGAACAAGCGAGAGATAATATTTATGTACTAGGGGAACAAACGAGGGATAATATTTATGTACTAGAGTAACAAACGAGGGATAATATTTATGTACTAGGGGAACAAACGAGGGATAATATTTATGTACTGGGGGAACAAACGAGGGATAGTATTTATGTACTAGGGGAACAAACGAGGGATAATATTTATGTACTGGGGGAACAAACGAGGGATAATATTTATGTACTGGGGGAACAAACGAGGGATAATATTTATGTACTAGAGTAACAAACGAGGGATAATATTTATGTACTAGGGGAACAAACGAGGGATAATATTTATGTACTGGGGGAACAAACGAGGGATAGTATTTATGTACTGGGGGAATAAACGAGGGATAATATTTATGTACTGGGGGAACAAACGAGGGATAATATTTATGTACTGGGGGAACAAACGAGGGATAATATTTATGTACTGGGGGAACAAACGAGGGATAATATTTATGTACTAGAGTAACAAACGAGGGATAATATTTATGTACTGGGGGAACAAACGAGGGATAATATTTATGAAGGGGAATTTTCACTACAATAAGATCAATAACGATCATTATATGCTTAATGTTTCCAAGAAAGTTTTAGTTTAGACATTTATTATGTATATCATGAAGACACTAGTACATTTTACAATAAATGTTAAACTTCATGTTCAAATTGCCGCGCTACCACCGTCGGTTAAAGCGTTGACAGGGTGAAGTCGGGTGAAGGTCAGAGATGTGTGGTTCGACGCTTACAACCCTTGGCGGTTTCCCAGGAGGACGCTAAGAAAGAACCCGGTCTGTGCTAATGTGGTTGTGTCCTTAGGCAAGGCACTTTACACAAATTGCCCTTGAAAGCATGCAAAAGGCCTCCCGTATGTTGTTCAATTATGTAGTCACCAGCTACTAATAGGAGACCCCCGCCACGGCCGTTCACAGATCGATGAACCTAGCAAACAAACAAATAATCTAGGTGTACAGTGTGTGTACTGCTTTCAAAAACAGGATGAACGTTGTGTTAAGAAAACAACGTAACGCAACCAATGGTTCCTATATACTGTTGTCACATCATGAACGAACTTGTTATTATCTCTTATTCAGTTAGCAATTCATTAATGACTGGGAGAATTACCACGGTCATTGAAATGTCTAGATATCCTTTCTGTCTTAGAACTTTGATAGTGATAGCAAACTATTTCTCGCTCTAAGGAAAATGCTTGTCATATGCTAAAATCTCCATTTGAAAGGTCGACATATCTTGCATGATAGCAATCAACAGTTAAATAATCACACATTGTTATTAATGAAAGAAACTTTTACAATTTGCTTCCGGCTATATTTGTACTCAGGTACACATAAGGGCACATGTTTTAACCTACAGCGACATACTCGTGGCACATGGAATGGTACGTGTATATCTGCAGATTGAAACAAGCACTTCATACTGAATAGTTTGTTTTTACTGATTAGAAAGATAAATGTACGAAGCAGACAACTTACATACATGTGGTTCTAAGCGTGTGGAAGAGGACAGACAGTTCATGACACTACATCACCAAAGTTCACGGGCTAATGAGCGTACTTGTTGTGTCCTTATCATTTCTATGGAATATCAGGATTGAACCAAACAGAAAGACACGGACAGGACTACTCTTTCAAAAAGCCTAGCTAGGGAGACACGAAATCAAAATGACACGTGGTATGTTTAATTGTTTGCTTTTTTTCAGTGCCATTGTTATTACGTCACGCGCAGTTTGTATACAAAACGTAAACTGTTTCCTTCCAAAGTGTTTCTGTAGCACATTTCAACATTTTTTAAAGAGGAGTGATATTCCACAGATGGTGTACTTTGGTTTTGATGACGCTGTACATGGTCAGGTGTCTCACCATTACGACTACCTGTTTTTAAGTAACCTGACCAATCCAAACGGTTGCCCTGTCAGTATTACTTTGTTTGTTTCCCATACTTACACCGACTACGACGTCTTGCAAAAATTCTACGAAATTGGATTTGAACTAGCTGTCCACAGTGTTTCTCATCAGAACATAGACACGGGTAGCAAAGTTCAACAGGAAGCAGAGGAACAACGAAACAACATTGTCAATCATACTGGAGCGTCCATTGAGGATGTCGTTGGATGGAGAAGTCCTTTCCTCGTAACGGCAGGGGACCCTCAGATATATGCTCTTGAAGAACTCGGCTTTGAGTATGATATTTCATTGATCTACAGAAGATCTGGGATGGATGGCGACGATGCTTGGCCGTTCACTCTCGACTATGGATGGCCCTTGCCATGTGACAAAAGCTGTCCTATGAAGAGTCACAAAGGATTCTGGCAAATTCCCATCAATGCGATGATAGACTACAAACACGAATTTCCTTGTGCTTTCATCGACTCTTGTTATAACAAACCCTGGAATGAGGAGGATGCTTATAAATACATAATGGATAATTTTTACAGTCGTTACCATGGCAACAGATCCCCGTACGGATTCCATATTCACGCGGTGTGGTTGAATTATGACTTCACTAGAAAGGCTATGGAGAGAGCCATCAATGACATGATGGAATATGATGATGTTTATATAGTAAATATCAAACAAATGCTGGAATGGATGAAACATCCCACAAAATTGTCCGACATTAGAAACTTTGGTCCATTGGGATGCAGGCCAATATATGCCACTGTAAAAGATGGTTTGATTATATTTATAAATATTTTTGTAATATTTGGTGTAGCGTGCATTACTATTTATGTTTATCGTAATAAAAGTAAACTTCTAGCGACTTTATCTAACAGTGTAGAATACATTATGCTTAATGATATTGAAAGTAGGGCACTTGATAAGGAATCCGATAGCGACACTCACCCCGAGGTATGAGATTTTTTAGTATCATTTTATTTATATCGATTTAATAAAATGGTTTAATTACGGATTAGATATTTCAGTCTCCGAGATTTAATTTGATACATTTAATTCATCTGTATTCTATTGATATAGAACTTTCAGAGGGAAATCAATTTACAAATAATCCATTTAAAATAAGATTTCTCATTTCATACTCTTTACTTTTAAAGGAGTATATAATATAAAGTGCAATCAAAGAGCTGATTTATCTATTCATTGATTTACTTAGATTTGTTCAAAGTATTATCGTTTTTAATATTTGTGTCACAGCAAAGTTCTGAGCATAGTTAAAGTTTACAAACACTTGTTCAGATATAGTAGAAAGGAGATAATGTATATTTCTATGTTATAAGGGGAGTCAACTATGTATAAGGCATCCTTTAAATAATGTTATGTCAGATATAGTAGAAAAGAGTTAATGTATATTTCAATGTTATAAGGGGAGGCAACTGTGTGTAAGACATCGTTTAAATAATGTCATGTCGTTACAACTTCATATACTGTCAATTTTCTGCACTTTTGCCAATAATATTATACCATGTAGTTCACCTTACAGCCGGTAACACAAAAAACGTCTCGTCGGTCGTTACACTGGCTTAGATAAGCAACCCAAGTCCTTGATCATTGTGAATATAGATGGCAAGCTAACATCTCGAGTCAACTCGTCCCAAAGTTGATATGCGACTTGAACGACACTCGGGTTACGTATAGTCTGCACGCGTTGTTATAGAAACAGCTGTGATTTTAACCTGCTATATTTTGATCGCAGACTATACTTGTCGTTCATATCAACCCATATTTTCCTATGTGAATAATCACAATAACATAGTGCATTTCATCATCAACACTCTTACCGGTAACATATCTTATTCATTTAAAACCTGCATCAATGTGTAGACGCACACAATAGATATGAGAACACGCCGTTGTTGTATTCGTGTGCATTTTTGGTTCCCGTACGGAGACCCGTACAGCCATAGTTGTACAGGTCTTTGTTTTAGCCTACGTAGAGGTTACACAATTAACTTGTCGGACTTATTTCGAATTTGAAACCGTGATAACAAAACTATCCATGTTCAAAATCACAAACAAGAAATAACCACCTTCAGTGATTATTTTAAAAACTCTCGAGTGTTACAACTCAGTTCAACAGTATCTTTTGAATAAAAACATAACAATTTATCATATGAGTGCATATGGTCAGTTATTTGGAAGGACACGCCAGTAAACCCCATACCGAGAGCCCCTGTGGTTTACTGGACAGGTGTGAACTATAGCCATCTCTTTCATGGGCTAATTTCTCATCGTCTGACTCTATGTCCTATCTGACTTCACACATTACTACAGTCAGTATGACAGGCATATGATAAAGACACTCCAGGATTTGGTTAAACAAATAAAACTGCGAGAAGATCCAGAATTTGAAAAAAAACATTTGAACAGAACAATTAATTATTACTGTAGAAATTAAAATTTGAAGATTAACAACTGACAACTCTTGATCAAGGATTTGGATTGGAAGGGATCTACAACATCTACCGTTAACTATATCTTAAAGTAACCCATTACACTAAGGAAAAGAAGGACAATGATTAGAAATTGATTAACCACAGCATTTTTAAAAAGACATTTTCTCTCCATTAAGCCAGGCTTCTATCCAATTCAAATACATGGTACAGAGTAAATCCCGAATGAATTGAAATCGTCATATCATTTCTCATTTAAATGTATGACTTTTACTTATAATTGGCAGATAATAAGTCAATGCTTTTTTTGTAGTCCAGTTGCTTGGTTGTTACAACATCAAACTACGTTCTTTATTTTTTAAGCAACAAGTGCGTGATTTTTGTTAACAAGTCCAATGTAATGATATACAATGTACTAAATGCGATACTAGCACGCCAACATAATAAAATCTTCTTTTAAGCAAGTCTTAAATGTCAACTATGTCAGGTCAATTCAGAAATGTATAATAGAGGGATATGAGACTGTTTTCTACCTTTTACTAGTTGTTTCAAATGGAAAATGCATGTTTGTATCTATTTTGATATTTGATTATTATGATTGACACGAAACTTGCTAATTATAACGTATAGATTGACATTTCTGTACGAAGACTGTTCTATGGAATATATTGGATTGAAATAAATTTGAGCTAATTAGCGTTGCTGTCTTTGATTACGATTGTTTAAAAAAATCCTAACTTAATCTTTTCAAAACAAACAGTATAGTAGAAATCACGAGTGTTATCCAAATTCCTGCGCGATTCCATCAGAGCTACAAGAGTGTCTTATTTGAAGCACTATAATGGCCATTTAACGATCTTCACTTAAAAATGCATTCTTAATATACTCTTTGACCAAACTTCTATGAATATCGAAAAGTATCCAGATTTTTATATGCTTAGTATGTTGTATTCATAATGTTGATTTTAGTCAGATGTTAACTCCTGACAAGAATCGAGATTTAAGACCCCATTGATAAAGTTTGTTGATACCGTTATTACTAATGAGCTTCTCATTTCATATCTGACAGTTCATCAATAATATCATCACACCGTTATCATTATAAATTGAACGTACTATTTTTTTTTTCTTTTACCGGTTTTCCATCATGTACACAAGAAAGCACGCATTTGGAGATCCTTAGGTATCCGTTGAATATTACATGTATGGTTTTAGCAAAGCCTCTTTTTTGAAGGGTCTGGAATATCTGAAATTTTCCATTATCTGTTATCAACTTATTATATCTCAAGAATAGCGTCAACCTGCTTCACCGCAGATTACCACACGTGTATTGAAATTCGTGATCTTATACACTGTGTAAACAATCAATAGAACTACCAGGCAATTCAATCTAAACTTTTTATCATTACAACAAATCTCTACCCTTTGGACCTTGCCTGTAAAAATATACCCTACACATACATCATATAATTATAATCGCTACACACACTTTGATTAAAAAAGCTAATATTCTATACTATATACTTTATCTATACTGTCGAGGATACATGAAATAAACAATGCCTATGTATTCCTTTTTATTGTTACCATCCGACTTAATAACATTCCCAATATATCCTTAGTTATTATTTCTATCCGTCTAATGGACACCCCCTATATATACTTAGTTATTGTTTCTATCCGTCCAATGGACATCCCCTATATATCCTTCGTTATTGTTCCTATCCGTCTAATGGACATCCCCTCTGCCCCACCCTCGATTTCCCAACCCCAGACCTATTTCATGTTATTTATGTGTTTATACGATTGAATCAGGGCAAATAGAATAAAATTGGCGAAAAAAGTTAAGTAGTAATAAAATAGTGAACTGCTGCACTTTACCAGGGACGTTCCTGACTTTACCATGGCCACGGGGAAGTGTTTTAAATCAGTGACGTATATATCACATCAAGTTTGTTTATAGTTGAAAAGATAAGATATGTCACCTTGGTAGGATATTAGTTAAGACACGAAGTGCTAACGGTGGTGGTTTAATCAGAGACATATATAAACGTCTCTGGTTTAATGAAGCGAGTCTTCAACCATTTCAAAGAATGGTAGAGTAAGTAAGAAGGAAATACTCGAAAGCAGAAATGAAAAATGACGAAGAAAATGCGGGATGTCAACAGGACACGCAAAGGTATGTTTAAACGCCAGATGAGGTAATTTCTGTTTACTGCCCAAGTGGTAAAGGGATACTACTATCTCAATCTGTATTGTAGGTACGATGTATCAGCTATTTATAAACTATTGCCGTGTGGAAATCTTTATAACGAATTTTTTCGGTAGCATTTTTATTACTTGATTTCAACTGACAAAACGAATAAGTTATATGGGGATCGTTGGTTAATAGCCGATGGAGATATTTCAGTTCTCGATCGATCCAGCCCGTACGGTTAGTTTGGGTTATTTCCCTTTAATATTGTCAGTACTTGACATTTTCGGCAATCCAGGTTCCTGGAGTAGCCAGGATGATTACCTGATGTCTTTTGAAAATTGAATTTTATTATTCTGATAAAATAAAATAGCACTCAAGCAAACTTGTTTAAAAATGCATGAGCGTAATTTGTAATATTGGAGGGAAAGGACCTGTCATTTAGGTTCACATTCCAAACAATGGTGATTACTACATAAGATATAATCTCATGCAAGTGGTCCCTTTCTTCCAGCGAAGAAGCACCAGACCCAGAGTCACAAACGATTCGCCTTCTTTCCTGGAATATTGACGGACTGGACAAAGTCGCCATTCTTGAAAGGACGAATGCTGTGTGTGACATCATCGACAAGTGTGTATTTTAAGAACTTATATTTGATTAATTTTATGTAAATCTGTGCGATCTACACCTTACGAAGAAATAAGTAGTTAATAAACTGTGTTTACTTATACAGATTGTACATTTTAAAAATGACTATACAACATGATTGTGAATATGAACAGAACTCTCTCTCTCCCTCCCCCTCTCTCTATTTAACGTTTAGCATTCCCCCGTTGTCGGTAGACGTGTCCTGCTAATGGCCGAAGGCAGCATACTTCAGTGAGGTGGCATGGTGAAGTCGCATTCCTTTATACAATTTTCTCTCACAAATACAAGCACTCAACACAAATGCTCAACCCGATTACCTGGGGAGGCTGCCATTAGATAGAGTCTTAACCGTCTGTGCATTAATGCAGACTTGCTGTCCTCATATTGGTAATGAATGATGGACTAGCAACTCTCTTAACTGACAAATTCTCTATTATTACAAAATCTTAACACCAAGTGAAATTTAAAATGGGAGCTTGTTCCTCTTCAATCTACGCCCCCGCCATTTCTATGAAGATCTATGTATTTTGTTATAGGTATGAAGATTTTATTAATGTTGGCACATCTCATAATTCCGAACGAACTATTTTTTTATCCCTCTTGATTAAACTTTGAGGCAATTAACTCTGTATATATATAACTTATCATACTTTAGTGCTTTTCCCGCTGAAAATATTATGCTAAAATATGATTGAGCTAATCATAGTTTCCCTATGTTGTTTCTATAAATTATTGTGGATGTATTAATATATTACTATGCTAATGGTCCCTCGATGACAACCAATTTATACTTAATGTTATATGTCGGTATATTGCTACGTGCTCTGTTTAAACTATACATATCTACTACAAAGAAAATGAAAAGACTTTTCACGAAACACGTCTTTTTGAATCAATATAAAATGTGATATCAGATTGTGAACACAATTTTGGTAAATTATATAACCCTCCATATTCTCTCAAACAGGGTCAACCCCCATGCCGTGTTTCTGCAGGAAGTGACGTTGTTAACACAGGCGATGTTGACGGCTAGATGTCCTAATTATCAGCTCATTCCTGGGGGTGCGGGGAGTTACTACACTTGTATGTTACTAAAGAAGGGAGAAGTGGAAATCACCCACGACCAGATATTGCCCTTCCCTGATACAACAATGGGCAGAAATCTTCTCATCGTACAGGTAAATAAATCACTTTTCAGAAAATGAACCGTCAATTTTTATAGCCCTTTTCCGACTTTGAAAAAATTCCAACAAAAATCAAAACACGAAAATGATTTCCACCTTTCACTTTTGACAAGAAAAATATCAAGTAAATGCATGCATGAGTGTGACTACGTCACTTTGCTTTTACTTTTTTGGTAACTCACCAAATTACTCCCTGCTCCGATAACCATTCAACGCTTTTCCCCTCACTGGTAAACCCATGCATGTTATTTAAATGTGTTTTGAATTTTGACACTCCGGTAAGCACCAGTGCAAGTACAGTTTGTCAACATTTTCTAACAAAATACTCCAATTTCAGCTGCCTAGAGTTGGAATTATTACAAATAACACATTACATTTCTGTACGACAACACTACTATAACAAACTTACATGTATGTCTTTGGACTATTTTTGCACAAAGTGCAACACAGTTTATGGCCGTCAAGGGGTTCCACTTTTTTAAACATCGTCTGCCGAAGGTACAAAGCCTTTAGTAGTACAAAGTGTACAGCCAACTGCTAGCTGACATAGAATGCTTCAAAGTCTGCTTTAGGGAAGGAAATTTGCTAAACCACATTTTTGTCTAAACTCTAGACATCATCCGAAGAACCTCATACCATATACGTTGTGTATAAAACCTTGCGTGGTGATCACAGCGGATGCCGAAGGAATACAATAATTTACAATATTCGTTGACTGGAATGACTCCAACAATCTTTGAAAGTACACAGTCATTGGAGGTGTAAATTCTGAAGTGTCTACACTCTAATAATGCAATGTAGATTGCTTCGAAAATGTCCAACATCGAAAGTTAATTATTACACGACAAACATGTATTAGGGAAAGGCTCAAAGACCATCTAACTTCTGGCAGCATGCAAAACTGTTGACGTAACGTAGGACATTACGGCGCCAAAATGACATCATATCCTATTTTTAATGACCAATGCAACTGACTGTTACATCGATATCGTCAATCAGGCCCCACTTGTATAAAACATCTCAACTTGAGATTTCCTCAAGTCGAGATTTTCCTCAGCTGATATCTCCTCAAAAACGACTTGTATAAAATTTTCTCAAGGAACAGGAGGAAGTCATCGGCTAGGATGTCCTGAAATTCCTTGAGGAATTTTCATACAAGATATTTTCATGGAGATATTAGCTGTGGAAAATCTGGGCTTGAGGAAATCTGAAATCGAGATATTTTATACAAGTGGGGCCAGGTCTTTCTAGCGAAGATCTTAGATGGAACATTGCTATTTTTGTTTCATATTGTTGTCTTGTGATCTTGATTTCCACTGAGGTAATGGTTTGCCGTAATTCAAAATGTGAATGCACAGTTTTATCCAGAAGGTGGCGTTGCCATTATCTGATTTTTGTTTTAGCACGCGCATTAATTCGGTAGAATACAATTAAATAGTGATAGTTGTTGAAATAAGCGGTTTTACATGTTGTAATGAACAAGTTGATTTATGAAAATGCCAATGAATACTGGAACTATATTTTCGCGAGGAGCAATTATTTTGGCGTCCGTCATCTGGTCAGCGTCTTAGATGTAACTAGTATTTTGGCTCGGGAGGGAAAGAAATAAGTGGCATGGCAGATGCTTGCAACTTTTATCTTTCTTCACCCTTGCCAAAATACAGGTTGTTAAGACAATGACCATGTATACTCAACTCGTTATTTATGTAACAAGAAATAGGAAGCTAGTGTAATGTTTACAGTGCAGGATCAAAGAGAAAATCTTCGTGCTGATGACCTCACATTTGGAAAGTACAGGTGAATGTTCCGAGGAACGTGTTGATCAGCTAGAAACAGCATTTCGTATGATGCAGAAATCTTCACAGTCGTCCACTGTCATATTTGGAGGGGATCTCAATCTCCGCGACCAAGAGGTTAGTGAAAAGTATTTTAGTTTTGATGATAAACTTTGATGTTATCCTACAGATAACGATGTTTTTTCCAAACTTGTCTTTGAAATAAAATAACGTTATTTATTTTCGAGTTGTTAAAAACAGCAATAAATTGAGGTCAACGGGTTGACCTTGCATATTTCAGTATTGTTTTTGTTTTTTGTTTTGTTTGTTTTTTTGTGTTTTAAATGATTGATATTTTGTAACACTTTCTTAGGTCGCGAGTATTGGAGGTCCACCACCAGGTATCTACGATATTTGGGAGACGACTGGTCGTAGGCAAGAAACAGCCTTTACATGGGACATGTCCCTTAACGACAACAAGGATTTCGGACAATTCAAGCCTAAGAAACGATTTGATCGCCTGTACGTCAGAGGGGCAGAACCTCCTGTTATTGAGCCTATCAGTTTGGAACATGTTGGGCTGGAACGTGTCGCTAGCTGTGGAAAGTATCCGAGTGACCACTGGGGGTTATTCACTCAATTCAGTACCGTGGTCAAGGTCAAGGTCAAAATATTTGCAAACAAGGTTGAGTAATGACGTCATCATTGGTATTGATTACTTAATTTGATAAATGTTTGGATTTAAACGTAATCATATAAACTCAACAAGAAGACACGGCTTATGTTTTGGCACAGTAAACAAATGTACGGTTATTTATGTAAGAAACTAAATTCTTATTTTTATTTTTTATTTTTGGTGTAGGTAATTTTTGAGGTCAGCTCAATGTTTGCGAGATTTTAGGGCATCTCATAATGTAGCTAACATGTTTGACACCGGTAATTGAAACATTGATATTTATTGTGAAACAGCACAAAATAATCACAATAAACATTTTTTAACATATCATGAACTTTAAAATGATAATACAAAAGATTCGTTTTGGAAAGCGTAATTTGTGATTTTTTAACTACTAAAAGTAAAATTTGGATTTGATGTAAGTTGGCACATAGTACTTGAACCGAAAGTTTTTCATTTCCTATCAACAACATCCAGACTGAAAAATATAATATGTAAGGGTAGATTATGGCAAGGACATACGGAAAGGAAATTAATTATGCAATAAAGTTTCTTCAAAACTGTAGAAAAGAGGTGTTGGTAAGACAATGTGATATCACAGGTGTAAAAAAGGGGCATATTTCGCATTATAGTTAATAGAGAAAAAATAATTGCGAAAACAAATAACTAAAACAGAGAAACGATTCCTTACCTCAAACCATTCAGCTCAACAATTTTTGCCCTGTAAGAAACATGAATAATTTTATCCTAACAAACTAAAGGCTTTGTTTTATGTTGTATAACAACTACTGTTTTCATTTTTCTCTCTTAATTACATATATATTTTTGTTACATCTGCTTTGAAGTATAATGCAGAGTCGTCATAAATATTTACTGTATGATAAGTACCGATGTAGTTTTAAGTAAATATATTTCGATGTGCGTGCTTTCATTCCAAAATTTCACACTCTTAAAGGGAGGACTCTTTGTCCTGTGATTTCAATTTATATCCCAAAAGATGCATTTTCAATGATTTAATAATATCAAAAGTATTCAAAAATCCGTAATTATCTGCTGGGTTTATCGCCCGTCAACAGCGGGAGTCATTTTGGGGCGGGGCTTTTTGTTGTATCTGGATGCTAACTCAATGAACAACATACGGGAGACAAATTGAGTGCCCCCCCCCCCCCCCCCCCCCCCCCCCCCCCCCCCCCCCCCCCCCCCCCCCCCCCCCCCCAAAGCATAGGCAGGGAACATCGCACCTCAGATCTTCACAAAAGGTTACGTAGTCTAAGCAGCCGATTTATCGCGGCTCCTGAATAAAGCATACAATTTCTATGTTGTTTAAACATCTTGAATGCACTTGTCTTTAAGATTACGGAATGAAAAAAAAAACATTATAGATATGATCAGACCATTTTCCACCTGAAATGAAATGAATATTTTTTGGTAACACATTCAAAGATAAGGTCAATTATTAAGATTTGAAACATCGTCAATTTTCTTGGGGGTTTTACTGAGAATTTCCTGGAATGTCCACGAAATGTAGAACATTTGAAGGTTCACAAAGATTATAGTACAAGTTGATTTTGTGAGCGAAATTTATCCACGAAATTAACTGCCAACGAAAATGTTTATTTTTCGAAAACCACGAAAATTTATGATTTTACAGTATACAAAAGCTTCTTTTATTTTATTTTGTGAATTTTTAATTATCTTTTGATTAGATCATTATCATATCGTTACAAACTGAACTTGCATGTAAAAATTGCGTTTCCTAACATGTGGCATTTTACAGTAGAAATATCGACGTTTGTATACTGCATCAGTATGATAAACAAATAAATAACTCTAGTATATTCGCCTTGTTTTCTACTTGCTCTCTGTTGATTACACTCGTACAAAGTACAGTCAGAATGTGTTTTATCTAATGTAAATACACGTGTTGTGCGTTATATAAAAGTATGTATGTTTCAATATTTATTCTATCAGATAACCAGCATGCTTTGTCAACATGAAAATTACAGTCAACACAGTAGATACTGTGAACAGGGAAACACGGGGGTGGGGGTTGGGGTTTCCTTCCTTACCAAGGTTTTCAGAAAATTTTAATCGGCTACTCATATGTGTATTGACAGGCTGACGCGTATATCACGTTATTCTGAATGTCGAAACACGGTGACACATGCGCCAGAGAAATGACCATGATGAGTTGACAATAAAGGTTTGAAATCAGTCATGCAAATTATATGACTGTGTGTAATTTGAAACAAAGGGATCCGACGATCAGCTTGCACACTACACAATCACTGTTTCAAACTTTTTGATTAATTTACCGTATGACAGTCATTTTGGCGTGATTTAGAATGCTAAAACAGCGATTTCCAAAATCATGAATACAAATTCATTTGTGTCGCTGCTGACCATCGAATCCGTTTACTTCAAACCATCGATACATGTAGGTAATTATTTATATCTAAATAACAACAAAACACATTTTTTTTTGCATATATTCGAGTAAAATGAATATTTTTTGAGAAACGTGTTTGACTCTAAAAAGAGCTGTTGTTAAGGTTTAAGACTGTCTTCCTCACTCTGTCGAGCAGGATGGAGCGTCGATGAAGGGGAGAGTCATTTTGTACATGAATGCAGTCCAATGTTCCTTTTATAAACACTAGTTATGTAACGTGCAGCCTAGCTTTGCACACGGTGGGTAAGTCTCTGATTCCTTGCAGAGATACTAGCTAACAAATGCCGATATATACATATAGCGTGGAACAGCAAACTCTACCTGAGTTAACAATAAATCTAACGAACGAACTAGTATTCACATGGAGTGCTGTCCCGACACAGACTGTTCTGACTAGCATGTGAGCGTGAGTGCAAGCTCGACACCCAGTGACTTCACCTAACCCTAGTTCCAACTACTGAACTAGTCGCCGAGCAATACCACTTAGTCGGTCCTGACTAAGCACTAGGTTTTCCTACCAACTAAGTCAACCCTTGCTTGTGTTCCTAGCTCGGGTTCTAACCTAACCCTATAGCTAGCTACCCACAGTCAAAGTCCAAGCTTCGGTGAGAACTAAACAGCTCTCGCACCAGATTGACAAGCGGTTTCGGAAAAGCCACTATTTGAGACTTTCACCCACCACCTGTTACAAATGACTGTGTTACTTGCTTAGTAAGAAGTCTTTCGTTGTTTGTGTATCTCTGAAAGCCTCACCAACAGTCAGTATAACAGCGCTCGCAATAATTCAAAGTAATTTCTACTTACATGTATAATAAACTCTTTCATTAGGTGTGACAATTGTTGGTATTTAATTTACCATTAATGATCCATACTAAAATATTAACATAGTACAAAATACCTTTCCATATCTTACTACATAATTATAAACATTTGTATTAATCAACAAAAATCATTAGATGAACAAATTAACCAATATGTAATTAGCTATAATCATATTCAATGGACATAAATCTTATACTTCAATTTCCATTACAGTTACACGTCGAACTCGTCACGCGACACAGGTCAGAGTTCTTATACGTAAATTTAATTGATCAAAATTCATTCAAACATGTACAGTAAGTATAATTAAAGTTTCCATCAAACTCTAGCTGAGTTTAGTGGAGTTAACTCTTACACCCAATAAATCACTAGAAGTCAGTATATGACGTCACTGAACAGAATTAGCCATATACAAATTGGTCAACACTTTGTCTAACATTAATATGTGTATACATATAAATACACGTACATTTTTGTTGAAACTACATCCTTAACTTAATTGAAATGGTTTTGTGAAGTGTGCATCTACCGGATATACATGCATTTGTCATATTTCCGGTATGCACAGTAACCACTATTATAATAACATTACAAGCTCGCGTCGACCTAGTCACGTGACACGGGTCGGAACACACAGTGAACGTAAATTCAAGAGTAGTTCGGAATCAATAAAAATTTATAAGAACTTGTACAGTAGGTATAATTAAAATCTCCATCAATCTCTGGTTGATTTTAGAACAGTCTACCTCAGCATCTATTTCTTCATATCGGTATGACATCACAATATTTAACAGAAACAGCCGAATACACAGCCCTATATGACCTGTGCGTTGACATGGAGATTGACCGGAATATTGAAGTGACCTGTCCTCCAGCCGGACGCTTTCATTACACACATATGGTTGTATATGCATCGGGTTTATTTACAATATCTCTGGGATAGGATCATTGGAATACAGGCCCTTAAAATCACTTAGAATCTCTATGGTGCCGTTAATTTCTTTATTTTGCTCGACTGTATCTGAATCTAACGGAATAAATGACAACAGAGCGGATCTAGTGTCTGCCCCTTTTTAAATACTCTTTCCTTAGATTTTTCCCGTTTCGCGTTATATATCGTGTTGCTATTCTATATCACTGTGTGATATGAAGTTACATATTCTGCATGTTCTTTAGTATGTTTGAACGATTTGAAAACGTAACATTACAAATTGATTTCTTGGAACACCTAGATTTACGAAAAAGTGTCCCCAATGGGACAGAAGAAACTTTCCGTAACACGTGGTATTACTATCTTTGTACTGTTAAAAATTCCGTTTCAACTTTTACATCCTTTATTTTGTAAATATTCCTAAATTTTGTTATATATTTAATTTTGTTTATGTTCTTTATTCATCTTGTCCTCATTTCTTTGATTTCTGGGGTTGAGTTACTGTTTCATTTAAATAGCTTTTTGTTCTTATATGCAAATCTTAAAATGATCACCAAGATTTCATTTGATGTAGAGATAAGAGATCATTGCTCAACTACAGGCTACTCTTATCAATATTTCGGTTATTCTGTGTATCTATGAATATGTAATATACATACATATATATGAATACAGACACGCGTGGATTCTTTCAAAAACGGAAAAATATCATCCGGTCGGCATTGTGTAGGGAAATGAGCTTTGAACTTGTTTTCCAATATCCGAATATCTTTGATGATATTTCAACGGAACGCTGAAATTTCAAGCATTAACAAGCGCTAACGTTCACTAGCTTATTTTTGTATTCTTCGCAAAACTTAATTGTGTTTTTGAAAGATCTCCTGTTTAAAATATGGAATTTAACAAATAGCCACGCATTTGGATCATATAAACGCTCAGAGGAAGTGTGTGGTCGTTTGTTTCCGTTACCGAGTACAGACTTATAGATGACTTTAGAGAGACTTGGTAAAGTTGATATATAATTAAACATGTATCTTACAGTTCTGTTGGCGTTTATGGTGATCCTGTTCATGTGGACACGTGGAAATATTTCTCTCGCTTCTGTTATTGAAGCAACACTAGACTCTTCAATCAGATCCTGGAATGACGCTTCGTTATCCGGGTCCTGTCAGTTGGCCGGGGGGCAACTGTCCAGTGGAATGGCTTTAGAATCACTGACATTCAACGTAACAAACACAGTATTACCTACCACGGAAGTATGGCTTGGCGCCACTGTTTCGTATTCGGTATGGTTAGAGCTCCAAAGCTGTAATTTTGGGAAGGAAATCGACACGACATATCGGTATGATATTAGCTCCAGTACAGATCCCGCTGAAGCCTGTCTAGACAAGTGTGGAAACACGACATTTTACCTGACTGACCTTTGGTGTTATTGTACCCTTGGTGTCACCTATTCAGAGATATCTGGGTGTAACGTAAAGTTTTGTCAAGGTGACAGACCGTGCGGTAACGAGGTTCAGATATTCAGTACGTTCACATACTATTGTATGTGTAGTTATTCACCAGTAGCTGTCACAGAAGACAACCGGATTGGTGGATGTAAAAAAGTGGTCCATGACGTGGAGGGATCTGTGCAAACTGTCACAACCGAATGCGAGGAGGAAAATCCAGTTCTATGTATTAATTTGGAAAGCGGGAATCGATACATTCCTGGAGGAATATCCAACTCCTGGGCCGTGTCTGCTTCCGTCTGTAATGCGGAGGGTGCTATAATAGCTGGGAGGGAGGGTGCAAATGTTCCGTTTAATGGGAACTTTGTTCACTGGATAGGCGTTTTTCGCATTGCGCATGTGACATGGAAGACCACTCACTCTGGAATTCCATCTTACTGTTTATCTGCCATTATAGGTTTGAACGGAACTGCCAGTCAGTTCGTTCGAACGTGTACTTCACAGTTGCCTAGCCTTTGTGAAACACCTACGGTAGATACTACGGCGACACAAGGCGTGTCACAAGAGCAGACAACTTCTGATGCTACGATTTCTAGTTCGACGGAAGTTACAACCATGGAAACAAACATGCCTGAACAGAACTCTACAGTGGTTGGTGCTGTGTCGCCCCAGTCCACAGACAGGACGGGACTTATAGTCGGTATTGTACTGGCAGTGATATTCGCCCTGGCTCTGGCTGTCTTGACACAATATCTTATTACGAAAAGGAGGCGAAAACGGAAAGAAATGGAAGAAAAAAATCGGTTAGGATCCCTAAAGAAATTACCTCATTCTTTACGCAAGGCGGGAGAGGAAAACAAATTGTCAATCATTGAACCAGGAAATGACGCACATCTGTATAACGATTTAAACGAATTGCAGCACTCGAAATCCACTCCTTCTGATATGTACGATCATGTTCAAACAGGAAGATCGTCGATGAACTTGTACTCAGAACTGCAAAGGGATGGACATCGGCAGAAGGAGACTGAAATCAATACTTACGACACAATGGCTAGTATAAATGCTGAGCGAGAGGCAGGTGAAGAGAGGGCACAAGCTGTGATTCCTTCTTCTGATACCAATAACACATATAACTCTCTTGGAGAAGTCTGAATATTAGTCTACAACGTTTTGTGAAGAGGGAGAACTGTTATAGATTTTACCACTGAATGTTTTAATGTAGTTTGGTTATGAGACTTCTTGCATGGGTCCATGATATCATTTATTTATTACTTCTTAAACTACATCGTACATGAATGGTTAAAATATGGACTCGGGAAATATAGTATTATTCCTGATTTCCGGATTTAGCAGCTGTTGATGGGGAATAAAATGGTTTGCGCTCCGTACACTTCATGGCTTCTAAAGGTATTAGGGATGTATTTTTGGTCGTTTCTCTCATAACTACTTAAACAGCTGGCCATCTTACTCCGAATAAAGTATTTTTGACAAGTATTTGAAATTACATCTTGATAGTATTAAAAGCAAGATGAGGACGACTCGTTTTAATTTTATATCAAGTTATTCATGTAAAGCAAAATAAATATGATTACTGAGGATGCATGTGGGAGATGTGCTGAACTGTGTGTCACGATTTAATTCATTTCAATAGTGAGTATAAACATATACACGGCGCTCTTCTGAAATGATGCCATATTAATTGTATCTATTTAGCTTTGAGGTTTTTGAAAAAAAAACATCAACACATCTTTCAAACAATTGTTTTCTCAGCCGCCTGTAAGATTTTATTAATTTAGGCCTGTAGTATCACTATGGGACGAAACACTTGTGTGATTCAGTTGGCAGGCTGTGCTTTATCTAACTCTTAACTTAGATGGAAATGAAGTATTCAACAACTCTTTTTGTTTTACATGAATAGATGAATTTAGAGGGAAGAACTGAATAATTTCATACTAAGATATATCAGAAATGAATATTCTACATGCATATCTTTATAGAATTGTTATCATGTTACCTTCACTAATACACATTAAAGACGGAGTGAAATGTAAGTATACACTTTACACACGTCCTTTAGCAGTGAAAATTGACACTCCAATTGTCTGCATGTTCCGTTATACACAACACCAATTGAAACCACGATAACTAAGTTACCATAATTACTTATTTATGACAAGAATAACGAAAGACATTCAGATTCTATAGTATTTAGATAGTAAATATCTTTGGCATGAATGTGTGAATGAAAGATGTAAAAAATGATTTTCCCCAAGGATAACTTATATCATGTCGATGACAATTATAGGAGGTGGACGATGGAATCGGTGACAATTAGAAGAACGTGTGGAATCAATATCTGTATTTAATTAATGATATATGTTTCCTATTACATATCTAAATAAAGAAAAGATGATATCTTATTAATATTTCTTGTTTACAATTTAGAGTTTTGTTGTCTTTTCATTTAAAAACCAGAAACAGATAATTTGATTGTTGCAGTAGCCTTGTCATGAAGGTATGTGGATGTTGAACTCTGTCTTTTATCAATAATTAAAAAACAAATATGAATGAAGATAGCGCTAAATATTCTCAAAAAACAAAAACAAAAAACAAAAAAAAAAAAAAAAAAAAAAAAAAAAAACAAAAAAAGAAACGCACAATTACATTCTGCAATCAATAGCCTATGATATCTTAGGAAATTTGTAAAAAAAAGTATATCAAACGGAAGAGACAAAGTGCTTCATTGATTCCCGTTTATAACCACTTTATCATTTTATGCTGAAGTTATAGAAACCTTTAAACCGAACAAATGCCGAAGATTCAGCTATTTTGCGTTATCTAAAACCCTGAATGAGTAGTGTTAAGTCTTGCTATACAGCCTTTATACAATACATTTAAATACGTTCGGAACAGTACACTGTGCTATAACGTTTACATGAAAGTTCTGTTGATCAAGCGATAAAGTGTTGTTAATGATATCAAATATAAGGATTCGAATACAAAGTAGGTTAAAAAACATAAACGGGTGTTCCAAAACATATCATAGATACGAAACAGGACTAGGGAAGTTTGTAATCTTTCCTAAAAAAAAAATGGGGAACATTTGGAAGATTGTGTTCAATTCTAATTGAACGATTTCGTTTATTGATTTATTGCTTCTCTGTGATTTAAGGGTCGTAATCTTTTCAGACAGGGTGCTCACCAACAGGACATCATTCGTATCTCTGACGGTATGGAAATAAGAGACAGATAAACATGTTGATGCGCGATGATCTCAAATACCGGAAAACAACTCTAAAGTTTAACTTCCGCGATGTGTTGTATATATAATGCTAGAGAGCTGCTTATTTCACATTGCTACGTTAGGAAAGACTGGCTATTCAGTTAGTGTATTGACAATGAATAGACAGCGCATCTTCATGTTTTTGACTATACTGTCGGCAGCCCTAACGCCGGCACTTGGAAAACAATATTCCTTGTCGGAGTCGTCCGATTGGAGTGGCGTTCACGGGTCCAGTGAAACATGTATAATAGCAAATTATTCTGATGTAGTAAATTTTGGAATACCCGCTGGGTTTGGAGACGATAAGTCATTTTGGGTAGCGTCTGAACATGTTCTCTCACAATGGATAAAACTGACAGGCTGTTTCACAGCGAATGCCCTCCTCACCAATGTAACGAAACAGACATTTACATCGGTTGAAAAATGCTTGATATTTTGCAGTGGTAACTTTGGAATAGCTGGTGAACAATGTATTTGCCAGGATTCCTATGTTCTGTCTTCATATGGTTGTTTAGGATGGAATTGTTCTGCAGAAGATGATGTATTCTGTGGTGACACCGACAAAAATCATGGAAAGGACTGTGTATGTGATTACAGATTGATTGATATTAGTGTAAAGAAATCAGAGATGATCGACGATATGTGTGTAGCCTACAATATCAAAAGTAAATCTCTACAAGCACATAATTGCTCTGATAAATTACGCAAGCTTTGTGTCGATGCGGCTAACAATAAGGTTTATCCAGAGACGAACCAACACAAGTGGTCAGATGCAGGACGCAATTGCTACAAAGACAATAGACAATTCTGTTATTCTACAGACTTTGACAACGGAACTTTTAATAAGTCGAATGGATTGTACTGGGTGGCGATTTTTCGCGTCAGTCTTAGTTGGAATGATATACCGTCCACTTCACTTTATTGTCCTGCCGTTGAAAAGCGCAATGGAAGCATAATACATCTGATGAGACAATGTACCGATCGTCTGCCGTCGTTATGCATTACAGAACAGGACATTTTCCATCACATTTCTACTACATCAAGAACAAGGTTTAATCCTATTGTCGCTGTTATTGCTGTTATCGTGGTTGTCCTGCTTGTAATCTTCATCTCCGCTTGTGTTGTAGTTAAGTTACGACAACGGAAGAGGGAGGGCGGGAAAATACAGGAATCAAGAAAGTCTTCCTTACCAATGTGTCCTAATGGTAACGATGGCAACAGGCTCGAGGTAAATTCTGGTAACAGCGACAACGATATTTACAACGTCCTACACGAAGAAAGACGATATCGTCCTAATGACGAAGAGGACTTGTATGACCATGCAGCGGCAGACAACAACACTTATGGTCAGTTTCAAAAGAGTCAAGTAACCTATGGAGAATCCCCTTATGACACTATGGCGGCTATTCGTTGTACGGCGGGAGTGTATGGGACAAATTATACGACAGAAAGTTAATTTTATTAGCCAGCGTATTGAAGTTCCGAATGAGCAGACTTGACGCTATCTTAACCACACACGGGAAGATGATTGGTGGTTGATAGAGAATGGTGGATGTGTTTGTAATGCTGTGATATTATGGAACAACCTTTGTCTTTGTGAGTAGTATTTGTACATAGGAAAGAACACACAGTTTGTGTAGTTTTCCGTCTGCTTTGGGCCAGGTATAGAATGAAAACGTATCTAACTGTAATTATGTGCAGTTGAAACTCTCGAAATTCGAGGGACCGTGGAAAATATTTCGACTCAGACGAAGTGTATAAATAAGGTTGACGATATCAGTTTTTTGACGTTGATTACAGTTGAACCAAGTAGGGCTATGATAGCACGCAAACAGCGTAGTTTAATCTGATATTTGAAATGACAGCATATAAACAAGCACTAGACTTCACAAATTAATTTAACAAGTCCCAAACATTTAATATAAAGTGAGGAAATGATGTGTTAGACACCGAATCCTTACGCAACTGAAGTAGTAAATTTGTTAATGTAGCGACCAATACCAACTTTTGGGGGTATCTGCAGAAATATTTTAATTGATCTAAATTTATATCTTATGATACGTCAAGATTTTTTTTATATATTAAAAAACCTGTCTATCAAAGCCATTTAAAGGGCCAGAGAAACGTAACCTTTATATGGTCTTTAAACGGAGATCCAAGTAATATTACTTGAATAGGGTTCGAAACTAGCGATCTTGATAGACAGGTAATCATTGTACAGCAGTGATCTTTATAGACAGGTACTTGTCGTATAATGTGACCTTAATAGATAGATAATTATTGTACAGAGGTGACCTTTGTAGACAGGTTATTTTATTGTTTAGTGGTGACCTTAATAGACAGGTACTTATTTTATAACGATGACCTTAATAGACAGGTTCTTATTGTATAGTGATGACCTTAATAGACAGGTACTTATTTTATAGTGATGACCTTAATGGACAGGTACTTATTTTATAGTGATGACCTTAATAGACAGGTACTTATTTTATAGTGATGACCTTAATAGACAGGTACTTATTTCATAGCGATGACCTTAATAGACAGGTTCTTATTGTATAGTGATGACCTTAATAGACAGGTACTTATTTTATAGTGATGACCTTAATAGACAGGTACGTATTTTATAGCGATGACCTTAATAGACAGGTTCTTATTGTATAGTGATGACCTTAATAGACAGGTACTTATTTTATAACGATGACCTTAATGGACAGGTACTTATTTTATAGTGATGACCTTAATAGACAGGTACTTATTTTATAGTGATGACCTTAATAGACAGGTACTTATTTCATAGCGATGACCTTAATAGACAGGTTCTTATTGTATAGTGATGACCTTAATAGACAGGTACTTATTTTATAGTGATGACCTTAATAGACAGGTTCTTATTGTATAGTGATGACCTTAATAGACAGGTACTTATTTTATAGTGATGACCTTAATAGACAGGTACGTATTTTATAGCGATCACCTTAATAGATAGGTTCTTATTGTATAGTGATGACCTTAATAGACAGGTACTTATTTTATAGTGATGACCTTAATAGACAGGTACGTATTTTATAGCGATCACCTTAATAGACAGGTTCTTATTGTATAGTGATGACCTTAATAGACAGGTACTTATTTTATAACGATGACCTTAATAGACAGGTTCTTATTGTATAGTGATGACCTTAATGGACAGGTACTTATTTTATAGTGATGACCTTAATAGACAGGTACTTATTTTATAGTGATGACCTTAATAGACAGGTACTTATTTTATAGTGATGACCTTAATAGACAGGTACTTATTTTATAGCGATGACGTTAATAGACAGGTACTTTTTGTATATTGGTGATCTAGATAGGTACATTTTGTACCTCCTCCTCAAATGACAATGGTGTATCGAGATATGAAAAATGTATGATAAGATATCGATTCCATGTGTGGATTACAGCAATGATTATAGACAAGTAAGAAACAGGCAACCGATTGTCTAAGAAATTATATTCAAATTTTGTGGATTATGTATTATCAACTCCTTCACAAAAGGAACCCCTTTCTGTTCCGACGTAATAGAGGATTGTGAGTTTGCACCCACAAGATATCTTCAGGGTACTGAGTGATCATGTTGCTTCAACAAAATCGTAGATTTATAGGGCTAATTATAGTCTTATCGATTATATCTTAATTAAGATTAAAATTACGACAACCAATCCACTATAATATCTAAGAAAGATTTGTCTAGCTGTATTCTCGAAATTCTTCACTCTCCCTTAATCAAAAGATCAAAGGATCATTTTTCAGACTCAATATGTTTTAGAAAGTTGCCACTGAAACTCACAGCAGTTGAAAAATAATTGAACTGTAGCATTAGGATGAATAAACACCCTGTGTATTGTGTATAATCTGGGATGTGGCTACACGAGATGACTTATATGTTCAGCATTGAGTGTCGTATCTGGAAATGGTCCATGGGAATTTATTTTAACGGGGTTTACTTCCCCTGTTACGACGTTCCGGTCTTTCAGCGGATGAGTAACCCATGGTAATATGCTGTGGAGATTGTCCAAGCTTAATGTGAAGGACACATGGATATTATCTGAACTGATATATCTATCGCTTGTGTCCGAAGCTGATCCTGTTGTTTGTAAACTGTGTGGTAAAACTGTCGCTGACATAGCTGTACATCTTATCATAGAATGTCGCATCCTGTTCGCTGAAAGAGATTTGATTCTAGAAATAATTGTTAACTTCCTACAGGTAAGCGACTATATAAAATTCTCAGAAATGAGTGAAAGACACCAAACAGAACTCATTCTTGGAAAACGTTCAAGTGACATTGATATATCGAACAATAATTGGGCTGATATGATGAAATGCATCGCAAAGGTGATCCCTAAAATGTACATGAAAATGAATGAAATTATATCATAACACTTGAATCATGAACTGACGAAACATTGAACTGGGAAAAAAACTTTATTTTCATCTTTAAATATCAAGGTTATTCTTTTGTCACATGGTATAATTCTATGCACTGCACTATGTTAAATTGTTTGTAATCTCAAATGAATGAGGAAATATCTATCTGTCTGTCTGTCTGTCTGTGTCTGTCTGTCTGTATCGGATGATAAAGTGAAGCATCCGCCAGGAAAAACATCTCTGTACCGGCCAGTGAATCCCACTTGATATAATATAATAAATACTTGGCTATAAAAAGCAATTCGACATGTAGCTAGCCTCCTAATCAACAGTTTGATTCATCAAAATTATCAATTGTGAGATAAATTTTCTGGATTGTGTAAATATTCTTGCGGAGGAAGGAAAGTCGTTGTAAGAACTTGTCTCTTGTCTTTTTGAAAATACATTGCATGTAAATATTCAAAATGTTAGTTTTGCCGTTTAACATATATGATTTTTGCATAACCACTTATCCTCTCATGTCTTTTGTTATGTCATAGCAAGCGAAAGCGTGACGGGAATATTTACCTGTTCGTGTAGTACATAATTAATGTATTTTGTTGTAAGAAGTTGGAAATATTTAACCCTTGTCCTTAGTATTTTCATAAGGAAGATATAATCAGTTCATTTCGATATTTTCCTTCATGAAATTTTACTTGTTTTTGTAAATAGTATTTTTTTTGTTGATATTTTTATATTTTGAAAATGTATACAGTTTTCTAAAATCCACATATTTTCTGGACCTTAAATTCATCTGCTCGGAATTACGCTAACTCCAAAATTACTAGTACGTCAAAGTATAGCCGGAAATCTTACACTAGTAGTCTTTGTTCAGTTGTTTGGTAGTTGACCAGCGCAAACCTTTCATTCATGGCAGAATCTTTGTTTTTCTTGTAGTATAGTCTTCTTTATAAACTATTTATGTCAAACCACTTTATCGTATATTTGCAAAAAAGCTCAAGCCATCTTGACTGTTTCGGCTGGTCGTGACACTAAGTAAAACCTTTGAAGTACAGTATTGACAAGATGGGCAACTTCCATTAGTACAGGTGTAGCCAATTAGCGTGACTATAATACTAAATAAATTCAACTTAATTTAATAACTACTTTTATAATTTTTGAATTTTGTATATACATATTTTTATAATTTTTGAATTTTGTATATACATATTTCTATAATTTTTGAATTTTGTATATACATATTTTCTTTGTGTATCTATTTCAATATAGCACATTATGATATATGTTGTGAATCAAAGAATGACTATCCTTGGGACGACTATTTGAAGTAATATTCTATATTAGCTATACACAATTCTTTATCTGTTTTACTATTAAGATAATTAGTAAATTTGAAGTTATCGCTCAATATTGTTTACAAAAAACAATGCGTCCTGTGAAGTAAAACGTAACCTTTCATTCACAACATCAAAACATCTCATTTTCATTTGTCTGGCGTATTTTTAAAAGTGTACGTTTTGTTTATCGCTTTCTGAACCTTTGATTTGTTTGTTATGGTTACAAAGCGTTACGGAAAGATGATAGAATCGGCTATTATTGTATATATATTGATTACAGCCATGTTGTTGTATTGTCTTTGATTAGTGATATTCATACTGGTAACATAGGGATAACAACAGTTGTAAGCATTATCACCTTTTGGTATTGGTTCCGATCAAGTCTATCGGAATAAGAGTTAATTATATTTACTATGAATTAAGTATTATCAGCATTACGGTAAATTGTTTAAAATACATCAAAGCTAAAAATTTTCGGAACAAATTTACTCTATTTTGAGCTGTCGCGGTTTCAGGCATATCGCTGTTAGAGTTATCTCCCCTATTCAAATTCTCCATTGTAATTGTTTTACTTCACGTATACCTTATAAATTGTTTTTGTTTTTGCCAAGCTTCAAGTAACATGCCTTTCTATGTCATATATTACCTGTATATGGAATTTTAATGTTCATTACGTTTCTTGTATAACATTGAATGAATCATGTCCATTGCTATAACTTGTTGTAATTTCATTTCAATCACGTTTTGTATAATATGACTTTTGTAACACCTCTGCTTCGAGAATAAAAGTTATAACAACGCTACAATTCTGTCTCCATCATATTTACAGTTAACAACAAAACCACCGTAAAATCTCCGTAACAGTACTTACCTGTATTTATCCAAAATGTCAATTCATTAAAAAATATATTACAATATTTATACATACAGTCTTGACGCTTCATGATCATCTACTTTTAGTAATTACAATTTCTTTGAACTTTATTTATTTAACAGATTCTAAGTCCACTATTGCAGCCTATTGGCATTTCATTTTTTCCAGTTGATGAGAAAAATGTAGGAAAACGAGTAGAGAGGAAACAGCTTGAGTGATGGAATTGTGTTGGATACAGGGACAAGTCAGAGAGGGGCCGTCTACACTATCGAACCTGTTGATTTAAACATATTTTATCATCAATATTAGAAAAATGGATCAGTGGACAAGTTATGAACCCTTCTCCATAAATGAAATTACAAATAATTAACATACGGCACGTGACACATATTTACACTAAAATATGAAGATAAGTAATTCGTAGACGTACAATTGTAAGTTTAAATCATTTTGTCAAAAGGAGGAAATGATCAGATGATAGGATAGAAAGAAAGGAAGAGAAAAAGACATAGTATAGATTTTATTTCAATTCTGTATCAATTCAGTGCCGACTACAAACAGTTCATGACGAGGTAGCGTTAAAACGTTTTGTTTGTTTGATAAACTTCTGAACAGATTTAACAACATTACAATTAGTTTTATATGAGTAAACATCACTGTCGGCCCATAAGATAGTTTCTATAATTAGAAAATAATGAACATGTAAGGAAATAGTGACTTACGTCTTCAATACCATCACCGCACGAACAATGCGGGGATTGGCAAATACCAACACTATATAAATCTGAACGCAAATCTGAACCCGTTATTAAATCATAATTTTGAAGTCGACCCACTTGGTCTTATTAAAGCCCGTAATTAACCATGACTAGGCACGAGACAGCAAGAGAACCGATGGCGGATAGAGAATGAGATGGAATCCTACACTAAATTAATTTCTATACAGCTGTAACATTTTGAATTTCCGTTAAAATGTCCTAATAAGTAGTTCCTAATGCTAATCTGACCCTAAC